ATGCCCTGGCAAGGAGCACTGCTGCTCCACGCTCCATTCTCACTGTACTTGGTATTGTCTTTTTTATAAATAAGATTTCTATGTAAAGCGCAGATTTTGATTTACAGAGACTTGCTGCAGTAAGTACCATCTCAGTTTTGCACCATTGGTTCAGCTGTTAGCACAGTAAAAATCATTTGTATGAAAGGGGCAAATGCTTTATTACGGTAATAAAAGGGAACACTACTGCTTTTAGGAAGTTATTGCAAGCACAAGTGTTTGAGATTTTAAATAAATTAAAGTAGTAAAATAAGAATGTAAGCGAATCTTTGCCATCTTCATGTTTTATAAAACTTATCCAACACCAGTTAAACCATAGTCAGTCTACAGGCCTCACGCTGTAGTTTAGCAGGAGGAAAATACACTGCCTCACTGTGGTCTTTCATCTTTTTTGTTGTTGTTTTTACTTTTTTATTTGAATTTATTGAAATGACATTGGTTAATAAATTTATATAGGTTTCAGGTGTACAATTCTGTAATTACATCTTCTGTATATTGTATATTGTATTGTGTGTTCATCACCCAAAGTCACATCACCATTTACCCCTCTAAACCTTCTTCCTTCCCCCACCTCCCTTTCCCTCTGGAAATCACCATACTGTTGTCTGCGTCAATGTGTTGTTTTTAAGGGGCTGAATTTGCTTGTGTCCCCTTTTTATATTGTGTGTTTCCCAAAGCTATACTCAATACCTTCCGTCTGAAACTATTATTGTATTGTCACTGGAGCACTTACATGTCTCTGCTGTACTGACAAGTTACCTAGAAGAACATAGTGAGTCAAAAACAAAATCCTCAGTAACACTGATTCAACCTTGTGGTCATCATGGTTGGCTGCCAATCTACAGTTTTATTCCACTCAACTTCACTGGCTCAGTAATCCTTGCCCAGTTAGTTTGCCTCATTAGACATGAAGAATGGAGAAAGGCTAAAAGTTAAGATACAAGTGCTTGTTCTTCATATGTTCCTTCTTGTCCTTATTTATGCTCTTCGAGTTCTTCTTACGACTCCATTGTTTTCATTCTTCTCAGTTTATAACTCCCTTTCCATTATGTTAAAGATAGCCTTGACACTCATCCCATTTTGCTGTCAAGGACTAGTGTTTGGTGCTGGTGCAGGGAAGCCAATATACAGAGCATTCTTACCTTTGTCTGCCTAGGGCACCCAACCTACCTTTCATCTAGCAGGAAAAGTCACTTTTTTGTAACTCTGTAATTTCTAGAGTAGGCCAGGCTGGTTTTATTCAGTTAGTTAGAGTGTCAGCCCAAGCATCAGAGGGCTGCAGGTTCAATACCTGTCCCAACCAGGGCCGTGCAGGGGGCAACCAATCCGTGTTTCTCCCCACCCCACTCCACCCCTCCTCCACCACGCCTTTTCCCTCCTTCCCTTTTACTTTCTGTAATAATCAATGGAAAAAATATCCTCAGGTGAGGATTAACAACAACAAAATTTCCCAGGTAGCCATCATCAGCTTGGCAGCCAAAATCAAGAAGTTGCCAAATATTGATTCCCTTTGCTTAATGTTGGCTATCCAGTTCAACTACTTTTTATTTTTAGTGTTTTAGAAAGTCATACCTCAAAAGAACAATCAGTTCCTTTGCTTTCTTTCTGCCGAATCCCTTATCAGCCATCTGTACCTGCTGTCCATTTTCTGTCTGTGCTGTCTCCTCTTATATACAAGCAGATTGTATGCCAAGACTCCCTTGCCTCTAGCAATTTCTGGTAAAACTTCCAAATAGACTATATCCTTTTACAATTAAATTATTGTATTTATTGATTTGATTGAACCCAGTAAATCCTTCCTCCAGCTCTGTCAATAAAAAGATGAAAGCAACAAATTGACTTTTTAGCTTGACTGTTGATTGAGCATTCTCAAAGGGGCATGTCCCAGTGTCAGAGCAAGCACAGCCTGATGAGACTTCCTTCTGTCGCACCCGGCGTGAGGGTGGCTACAAAGCACTTCCACTACTGCTCTCTTATCTCAGTGTGTTAACCATCATGTGTACGTTCTCTACACATCACCCTTTTGGCCACAGACTGATCAAAGCTGCTTCTCCCTACCACCATGTACTAATAACAAAGATTCAGTAATAGTAGTATAAACCATTTTTCAAGCACAGAATTCTAGCTAATTCCAGAATGGCTCTGTTTTCTAAATTGTTGAAGGAGTGTATCTTAAGAGCAAACAAAGTCGATGCTTATTTTCTGCATAAGAGAGTCACCTTTCTTTCACTCAAAGGGAATTCATGTGATGGGTTTGTTCCTTAAATGGTACTAGACAAGAAGAGCCTCTGGAAGACATTTGTCGCACTGCCCTCAGGGTATTCTGATTTGAGAAAATGACTAAACTATAATACAGCAGGAAGCCAGCACCAATGAGCACAGGATGAACAGCAAAAAAATGAGACCATGAATGTTGTTTTCAGATACTACTGAACAAATTCAGTAGCTTTGGACATTTCCTGGGGACTCAAGCAAGCTAGAATCTGCCTCCCTACTCAGTAACTTTTCTAAGTTAAAGCAACACCGTAGCCTTTTAATATTCACCCCTTTCAGACTTAGCAAGTCAGGCAAAAACAGTGATGGCCCAGCTCTACTCAAAGAACTGCTCCTACTATTAACCAGTGCTTCCTCCACAGGAGGAATATGCCTCACAGCCTCTGTGGGTCCCTGCCTCACAGCCTCTGTGGGTCCCTGCAAACCCTCGTGTTCTGTCCTGGGCTTGGAATATAACAGATAGACCTGCACTTGTAACAGCTTCAGCTCTTTGGGGGAGTGATGGCCTCCATGGGTAGCTAGAATCGTCTACAATGAGGCAGACCACTACAATCAGAGGATGGTCCACACCACCTTTTGCTAACTTCTGTCACTTTCGCCCCTTATAGTACATAATCCCCAAAGGTGTCCTTCATTGCACAGATCTTTGTCAAGTAAACATACAGCTGGTTTCTACTACTTACAGCACAACGTTAGGCTTGAAGATTAGTTCCGCTGGCAGTTTTTCGAAACAAAAGGAGAAACATGACCTAAAAGTTCTTGCTAAAATATCATTTAAAGCGTTATTTATACAAATGCACTTTATTGTTTTAAACAGAACAAAAGAAAAGGCAGAAAATATTTGCATATAACAAATCCTAGCTTATAAATGTAGTTTTAGTGGTGATGTCTAATCATTCAGGGATTTTTTTTTTTTTTTAATTTGCTTCACTGTGTCTTGAGCACTGATATTAGAGAAAAGCACATCAGCATAAAAGGTAAACCAGTGTCTCAAAACACTGGAAGAACTGGAAATGTTTTATTTCCTCTAGGTAATCTTTAGTAAAACAAAAGGAGATCTTTGGCATAGATTCATACTTTAAAGGCATTAATATTGCATTTATATCAGGGAAGCAACTATCCAAATATGCTGAGGGCCTCGAAAATCTTCATCAGTGAATAGGAAAGAGAGGAAGCCTGAGTGTACAGTATCAAGTCTTACACATTCCGTTGGGATCTACCACATTGGAGGTGGGAAGGAAGGGCATTCAGGCAAGGGTTTTTCCTCTACTCACCCAGTTCTGGCTTTGGGGAGAAATATGCTTTCGTGTGCTGGGGATGCTTAGACAGCAGTGATAAAAGCAAGAGGAAAAACTTCTCTTATTTGCTAATAGGAAAACTATGGTGATGATTTAGTATACCCATTACTCTCTTGAACAGTAAGGACCTAGGAGGGGGAGAAGATGCGAGGGGCTTGGTTGTAGTTGGTTGAGGGAGATAGGAATTACTGAGGACTATTTCCCATTGATTCATCCCCAACAGCGCCAGAATTCCAGTCTGCAAGTACCGCTCTCCCTTGGGTAAGAAGTGTCCTTCAGACAGGACTGCCTGTCCATTAAACACTCCTGGGGGCAAGCACCAATTCTTAGGACTGAATTTCAAAAGGATTAACAGGATGTTTTCTAAATTATAGAAGAACAAACATGTATCTTTAAAAATCTTTGTTTAGGCAGGGTGTGGGGCAAGAATATAAAAGCAAGGATAGGAGACATGATTTGGTTAAAAATTAAATGCAGCATTTCAGCTCAGAGAGAACAGTAAGAGTTAAGAATGAATGATAAGGCCTCAGCGCAGACCTCTGCCGGCAGTGACAGAGCAGGAAGCGCCGGGGAGTGGCCCTGCTGGGACGGCGGGCAGAGCGACTCCCGGCACCTCTGCCCCTCCAGCAGCAGAGAGCACCAGGACACAGTGTGTTCGTGGGGTGGTTACCTTGGCCGGCCCTGGCAGGGGGATATGGAACAAGGGGTTTCCCTAGCACAGGAGCAGGGAGAAGACAATCGTGATTCTGTGATTTCCTCCCGACAGACGGAGATTTGATTTCATACTATGGGAAACTAGGAGGATTAAATGGTGGAGGGGTAGGAAGTGAACCCAGGACCCCTTTACAGAGGCTCTCCCAGGTCTCCCACGGCTTCCCCGACAGCAGTGAGGCTCACTTCTGAAGGGTCCAGGGAGCGGCCAGGGAACACAGGCAGGTCAGCAGCAACATGGAAAGCCCAAAACAAACTTTGGGGGCATCGTGATTCTGGAACTGACTTGCCTGGGCCCTGGGTCTCGGGAGCCTGGCGGGGGAACAGGGAGCAGGGAAAGGGAAAAGACGGGGCATTGTACCCTGGGAATGAGGAAAGAGCGGGTGTCTGGCTAGTGTTCACGCTTGGATTCTGAGCTTATGTGAAGTCCGTGGGCTAGAACGCAGTCTGCCTATTGGGAGCATGTGCAGGAGTATAACTGAGGATGCAGACACGTTTCAGAGTGTCCATGACAAGAGAATAAATGCTTTCTAATGTGAAGAGGCCCCATTCCTTTCTGTTATATCAGGCCAGGATGTGGCTTTCAACCCCCCAGCAGTGCTGGGTGGCTCCTGGAGCTCAGATCACTTCCATACTGTTTAGTAGGGGTTTCTGTGCCAACCAGGTTCCATCGGGTGCCTACTGGTACCAGGGAGTCTTCCTAACCCAGCGCAGTGTAAATCCAGCATCCGTTCGAATTTTGATTGAAGCTGCTTCGGCCTCTCGCACAGTCTCCTTCACGGACTGCATGAGGTTCTGGGCGTTGTGGACCAGCATCTCCGTCGCCTGCAAGGGAAGAGGACCTCTCCATCACTCAGTGCCTGACGCAGCGGCCTCGCCTCCAGGCCGGCCTAAGCCAGGAGTGCACTGCCTTTCCCTGCCCTGCTCCCGGCATGCCCGTGCTGGCCACATCACTGGTGGTTAAGCTGGATCACCAAAAAGACCCCAAAACTGGCCCATCACAGTGCACGCTACCCTCCAAAGGCCTCTAGTGTATACTCCTTCCTGACCTCCAGCTCTCGCTGTGCCCTCCGCCTGAAATGCTCTGCCAGGCCTCCCACGGCTCACCTTCGGCTCCTGCAGACGCCACTCCATTGTCACCCTACTGAGGCCTTCCCCGCTCACCTTTTTTTAAAGCCCCTTCCTCACTCCCAACAGTCCTCATCCTCCGAGTCTTCATTTTTCTCCCAGGAACCCATTATCACTAACTGATGTACTGCACGTTTTACCCAGCTTGTTTTATCTAAAAGTTAAGTTCCATGAGGGCAGCAATTTGTGTCAGTCTTGCTCATGGCTGTACCTCTGTGTTAGGACAGTGCCTGTCACATAAGAGGTATTTCATAAATATTTAATTAATGGATGAAAAAATAATAATTAAATGAACAAACCAACCACCTTACAAATCCACGAAGATCTAGTTAAGTACATCTTCTACATAAACAAACTTACAGGACTGGGATCAATCACACTGGTACTCTACCGTAGCAAGTCAGAGAACTAATTAATCCATTAGCCCGTAATTCTTTTTTTTTTTTTTTATTCTTAACTAGTTTTGAGCCACAGAACCTGCAATTTAATGAAAAATTATTACATCTACAAAATTTGTGCATGCAATCAGAGAGTTCGTGGGCTCTGAGAAGCATAACTAAAATAGACTATGAAAAATAAATAAATTAAAATTTAAATTAAAAAAAAAAAAAGGCTCCGATTCCTGAAAATTGATCTTTTCACTTGGTCAACAAAGAGGCTGAAACCTAGAGTGCTTGGAGACTTGCCAACCAATCTCACACAACAGGATAAGCTTGCAGTCCTGTGTTTTTCTGCCTCGCTCAGTTTCCATCTTTCTTCATTGGACTACTTAATAGAACACAGTAGATACTCCCAAGATACATTTTTGTTGGTTATTTAAGTAAGTCTGAAATTCTGAGCCTTCTCCTTCCCTGGCTTCTCACCTTCCTTTTTCTTGGGGCAAAAAAGGCCACATGAGAGGAAGCAGCCCGGTGCCTACGCCTGCCTACAGTGCATGGAAGCTAGGGGGGAAGATCCAGTTCCACGGTGGGAGAGAGGAGGAGAGGGAGAGCTGGGATTGAGGCATGGTAGAGGAAGCAGAATCCTGGCGCTGTCTCAGCTGACATTTCCCTAGCCCGGCTCCTGGCCTGGAGGTCAGAGACAGCCTTCCAAGCTGTCTGTGAGTTCCCCACGGGGAGGGCTTGAGTCTCTTTTTGAAACTACCCTATACAGTACTTAACTCAGTCCCACCTACACACCCAGTGTATGGAGAGCTGGCCTGAGCAGTTCAACAAAACACGTGCTCCCTACCATGAGGCGCTGGGGGTCTGGCTCACAGCAGAGCCTCCTAGAGAGGAGAGACAGGAAGGAGAAGGCGCTTGTCGGAGGGCTTTCTGAAGCACCCAGGCCACTTTTCCGGGGGACAGGGAAGGAAGACAACTCCAAGAGGCATGGCTGAAGGGAACCTTCCCGCCATCCTTCATTTTAGTCTGTCATCCCCGGTCAGCACAGTCCCTGACAAGCCTCCACTGGGCGTCCTCCTGGCGGTGCTTATCCCCAGGGAGCCGGGAGCAGACCTTCTCTCCAGCTGGAAGGTGACCGTGGGCCAGAGGGGACAGGCACCGGAGGCTCAGGAGAGCCAGGGAGGAGAGAGTGAGTTCATGCCTCACTCAACGGATTCAGACGCTGACCCCTCCTAGACCTCTATCTCCCACCTGTAAAATGACCAAAGCTGCACAAGAGCTTTACTTTCCAAACTTCTGGTGCGTCTCTCAAACACAGAAGCCCTTCAGAGAGAAGTGAGGACTCCACCCACATACTGAGGACTCAGTTCGCAGGTAAAATCTCTCCAAGGCAGAATTAAATGGCTATGAAGTGACACAGATGCTGCTGGCCAGAAGCCAGAGCAGCCGGCACATACCTGCTCAGACTCCTCGTCACTGATGTTGGTCCGGCCCAGCATGGTGGCCTTCACTGTGGACAGGATTTTCAGCTGGGTGCTTATGGTTGGGATTCGCTCACACACCTGAAAACAAATGTGTAGTTAGCGTTTTTCTTGCCTGCAAGTTCCTTAAGGACAGAACTTATTCGCCTCTGTATTCACAGTGGCTGGTGTACAGAAGGCACTCAATAAATCAGCAGCAGGATTCCACCAGCTTCCTTCTAAAGATCAGTATAGTCTCTTTGTCCAGAAATGGAAGCACTGAGATTCTTTCCTTTGATTAGGAAATAAACTTCCCTGGATCTGCCTTTCCCAAACACACATGTGTATTTCCCTTTTCTGCTGCATCTTTCCATTCTGACATGCCTCCTCCTTCTTCACCCACTTTCCTCTTTCCTGCTTTTCTCCCTCCCACATCCCACCACCCTGATGCCAACACACACACACACACACACACACACACACGCACACGCACGCCCCTGAGTACCTGTAAGAGGTTGGTTCTAATCCGCTTATCTGTGCATTGCTTGGCAACCTCCTTGGCCAACCGAGTCACCTCATCTGAGGCCTTGGCGATGTCCTTGGCACACTGGATCAATGCCCGCTTGGTACCACTGCCTCCTCTCACCAGCCGAGACATCTCAGCCATCAGCAGAGCCATGCGCTTGGCTGCTGCAATGATGTCATTGCCCTAGAGAGGCAAATACACAGGGTGAGCCCAGCCCACACTCCGGCCACGTGAGGGAAGGAAGTGGGAGCACGGAGAGGAGAGAAGGGAGCCTGCTGCTCCAGCAGTCCTCTGCAAGGTGAGAAGAGGATAAAGAGACGTTCTCAGGGGCATGGACAGCACAGGAGAGAGAGGACAGCAAGCCAGGGCACTCACCCTAGCACTCTGGAGAGAGTGGGAGAGAGATCACCTGGCTGAAAAGGAAGAACTGGGATCAGTCTGAAAGGGCCCGTGTGCCCCAGGCATAGTACTAGACAAGCACGTCAGCACCTCCGGGTTAATCATGTCAATGAAGTGGGGACGGACACGAGGCTGGTTAAAAGGCATTCCCTTTCGTCTGAGAGAAGCGGTAGAACTGGCCTGAGGGGAAAAATACAGAGGAGCCATTCCAGATGCTGAACTCACCCTCTTCATCCACGCCCTTATTACCAAGAGCGGCCAAGGGCTGTCTCTGCCAAACCAGAATTTAAAGCCCAGTAACCATTATCGGCCACGAGGAAAAAAGATGTATTTTGTGACCTAGACAGCTCCTACCCTCCCTCTAGTTCTTGTTTGCCCGGTTAGCCTACGGCAGTGGACAACAAACTCATTAGTCAACAGAGCAGCAAACCTCAGCTCATGAGCCACATGTGGCTCGAGAGCCACGGTTTGCCCTCCACTGGCCTATGGAAACATATTGTTTTAATTTCATAATAAGAAAGGCCAATGATCAATTCTTTCATCCCCTCAGATAGGTGGCTGCAACTAAAGAAAACTTCAGCGAAGAAGATGCTATGGGAGTCATCAGGAAAATGAAATCATGAGTCGAGCTGTAAATGGAACCCCCATTCCAACTAACAGCAGTTCAGCTCAGATGTGGCATTTTGGTTCATTAAAACCCTTACGGGTCAATAAAGAAATGTGTAACCAATTTATGTGTCCTCAAAAGGCTCTCTTTTGGCCAATAACAACCAAAAGTAACAACTGCATTGTTCAAACTGCCCGGAAGGCCAGGCCCTCCTCATTTTTCCCCTCATGCTTCTCCATCTTGTACGATGCAGTGAGGCGTACACAGACCAGGCACGCAGTGCGCTGTGCCGGACCGCACAGGCACCAGGGCACGGCCGAGCACTGATATAGGGTGTGTGACATCTCAGGCAGGACTGAGGCCGGGAACAGGTATGTGATGTCGGGAACAAGGTGTTAGACAAGCCGCCTGGGCCCACCTCTTCCAGTGCAGCCCTGGGGTCATTCTAAGACTGCAAGACCTCGTTAGAAGACAGTGCAGTGCCAAGGTTAGTTATCACCCATTTCTCTTCAAACCCTTTCTTGCAACATGCCACCTTCAAGGAGAAAAAAAGTGATCCCCCCACCCTCACCCCCCACAGTAGCTTTGGTTCAGTCTCCAAGGCCAAAGCTCTGTTGCTGCCGGTCCTGCAGCCTTGAGCGCTCTCTGCTCCCACTCCAGCCCCTCCCACTGAAACCTGGTCAGGCCGTCAACAAGCCCCTGTCCCTGTGGGCTCCCAATAAGGCCAGAGCGGCCACTCGGCCACGTGCAGGGCAGCAGGCAGCCCTCCCAGGGAGCTGCCACAGGAAGCTGCTTCTCACCATGACCAGCTCTGCCGAGCCACCAGTGCATCAGGGAGAGGTCAGTGGGGGAGGGGAGACATGCAAGGCTCAACCGGCAGGCCAGGTGACCTCTTAATGGTCTGCAATCTGCAGTGGTTCCTGACCTGCAAGTCATTGAGAGGCGCATCCATGGCTGCCCAAGGGCTATAAGCTTCCCATAGTGACCACGAGGTTGGTATAAAAAAAAAAAGAAGAATCCTTTCAAAAAGTGACCCCAGCTCTCTCCTGCCCTCAGACATAAATGCAAGCCCCTTAACCTGGCATGAGCAGACCTGTCAAACTGTGAAGCCAGTCCTAATATCAAGGTGCAGACAGACAGACGCTGGCCCTGCCCAGACTCACAGGACCCGCACAGACCACGAGTGATGCAATGTGTCAAGGCTGCACATGGCCGGATGCAGAGGGAGCAGCCCCACCCGGGGGTGCTAGCCAGTACCTTACTAGACCACTTGGTGGCTTCCCGGTGCAATGACTGAGCCGCGGCCAGAATGGGCTGGTTGACCGGCTGATTGGATGACATTAACAGCAGCTCAGGTTCATAATCGTCTTCCATGTCAGGGGGGACAGGGAACCCGACAGCATCAGCCGCGTCTGCCTCAGCTACAACACCTGTACCTACCTCCGCGGCGGGGGGGCCCGGCTTTGTCGATGGCGGGAAGGATGAGAAACAGGGACAGTGTTAGTGCGAGCAGCAGGACTGGGGGCACCGGCTGCTGCTGGTTTAGTACCCAAAGCTGGCGGAGACGGCGTGTTCTACAGGAGCCCGGTGAGCCGCGCTCCGCGGAAGGGGAATCCCTGCCTCCAGCGCCAGGCCAAGCCCCCTGCTCACATGAGCGAAGGAAGGAGACTCACACCTGTGACAAAGGGTTTCCAGGGAAATAGTTACACTACAAAAGCAAGTGGCATCCCTTTTTTATACACTTACTACTGACATTGAACTTGCCAAGAATAATTCTCAAGACACAATATTTTCGGGGAACCTAACAACTAAACAATAGCTCGCTGCTTTTAAAAGGAATCCAGAGAGAAAAGGTAAATTCAGTCACACAGCTGGCTTTGTGCAGAGTGAAGTGAACACGCTGCTGGCCCGTATGGGTGATGCTGTGCATCTTCAGGACACAGGAAGTGACTGAGATCAGCTCTGCAGCTGCTGGGTGCAAATTAATATTTCCTTCAGGAGGTAAAAGTCCCCGAATTTAAAAGTGATACAACAGCCTGGCCTGTGTTGCTCAGTGGTTAAGCATCAACCCATGAACCAAGAAGTTGCTGGTTCCGATTCTCTGTCCCTGGGAACACATGCCTGGGTTATGGGCACCATCCCCACTAGGGGGCGTGCAGGAGGCAGCTGATCAATGATGTTTCTACCTCATTGATTTTTCTGTCTATCTATCCTTCTCCCTTCCTCTCTCTCTAAAAAATCAATAAAAACATTAAATATATATACATTGGAGGCAATGGATAGCAAGCCAGGAAAAAGGCAAGAAAACAAACACAATGGTGAGTGAAAGGATTCATCAAGTTCCCACTGTCCAGAGACCCCTGGTCCAGCCTTCCATCATAGGGGAAGCCCACCCTTCAGACCAGCTCTCTCTCTCTCCTCGAGGCCTTCAGAGGCAAAGCTCCCACAATCTCACATGTGTCCACTGCTGGCCCCGGGTACAGCCTATCTCTCCTGTTGCTAGATAGGCTTCTCACTCACTCCACACTCAATTTACATATTTCACAGATAAGACAATACATGGACTTGGCAGCTGACCCAGGCTGAGCTCAGAGGAGCCCATCGGTGCCCATGAGAGAACAGAAGCCGGACGGGGAGATGATGAATTTACTGCCAGGGACAGGGGAGTGCGAAAGATCCGATGCTGACAATAGGCTGGGGGAGAAGAGGAATTGCCTCACCAAGCAGAACCACTTATTTAAAAAGCAGTGAGCACGGACTCATTGCATCGAACATCTCTCGCGAGAGGAAGATGAAGTCTGTGTGGAGTTTTATGTGAAGTTGCTATCACTCCTACAGGCCTTATCCTGCACAGGAAACCTGTCTCATCGGTGATGACAAAGTTGGAGGATTCGGGGCAAACGTGGACTCACCTACCATCTACATCCTGTCACCTAAGCTCGGTCTCCACTGGCATCCATCCCCATGTCTTAAGGACAGGCCAGCTCACTGCTCTGGAGCTCAGAGTCCCAAAGTGAACAAACACAGATAAAGGCACACAAACACATACCACCACCCCAAACACACATGGTTCAAGCAGCTCCTGGCTTCACACAGCTCACAGCCAGCCACCTCCTGACGCTCCAACCCTGCGGAGACAGCCAGACCTAAGGACTTCTGGCCACAAATGGCAAAGCACAGTACACGTGACAGCCGATGCTGTTTGCCCCCAAGCTTTATCTCCATCTTTACAATTCACACATGCTGTGTGTTCTGCTGCACAGTGTACCTGGGTTTAATGCAATGTAATTTAACATTTAACGCTTTAAAAGCTTTGAGTAAAATCAACCTTCATTGTGGCTCCTCCTCTCCCTCCCCACGTGCACTGACACCCCGTGACTGGTCCCAGGGGTGTGCACACCCAGATGCAGAGATACAGTTACAAATAATGCACCGGCCAGCTCCAACACCAGCAACGTCATTCCTTCTTAGAACCTGGGCTCTGAGCTAACAGTTCAGAAAAATAGAGAGTTAAAAAAAACAGCCTTAAAAAAAAAACCAAGATCAGCTGCATGTCGGGCCCTGGGGAACGACGTTCAGTAGGAGAACTTGAGCTGCTGAGGGTGTGAAAAGAACAAGGCAAATGGATGGTGGAATAAAGATCGAGGGTTCTATTAGGGAGAGTAAGAACTGAGTTAGGACTACATTTCCCTGCAAGGTTAGAACAATGTTCTAGAAAAGCTACCACTCACTTTTCAGCACTGGGGGAAAGAGGCTAAGTTATTCACAGGGCATGACTGCTGTAACATCCACATTTCCACCAACCACGCTAATAGGAACACTTTCATGTTTGTTGAGCGGAATTAGCCCGGAGCTGTCTTGAGTTGAGGAGAGAGAGGATTCTGAGAAAGGGACATGGCTCCTAAGACACAATCTACTTGCTTCTATGAAAAAACAGGGAAAATGTCAACATTGCATCCAGCTGTAGCAGAGCCCACAGGAGACAGTTTCATGTTTGGAGAGATGATACCGTAATTAGCAAGAGCATCTAAAGCATTCCGCAATCCCGGGAAAGAAAAGCAGTTTTTAAAAGACGCCATATGCCCAGGGTGAGGCCCCTGACACCCTAAAGCACAGAACCGTCTCCTCCAGCACAGCTTCCCCGCTCTCACGGGTGCTGCTGGAAGGAGGACCGTCAGGCACCAGGGACGTCTCACCAAAGCACGGAGAGGAAGAGGACCCCACTATGGCAACAACAGGAACCGAAACGGAGGGGGTGACTTTCCAACCAGACTCCCCTTCCGGGAGTGGTGCATGGCTCTCCGTCCTTTCTCACCAAGGAAAGCCTCGCTGCTTACCTTGCTGGACCACTTGCGAGCTTCATCGTGGAGCTGCCGGGCCGCCATCATCATCGGCTGGTTAATCACCTCCCCGGCTTTCTGCTCGGGGAACTCTTCATCCTTCTCCTCTGGCGGTGGGGGCCTGGGCGGCGGGACCTCCCCCTCAGGCAGGGGCGGTTTGGGAGGAGCAAACTCATCTGTCAGCTAAGAAAGAATTACCAGGCTGTAAGCAAAGCCCCAGGAACGACTCCCCCCAGAATTCTTTCCTTTCCTCTAAAAAGGATCTCCAGAAAAGCCACCCACATGCATTCCACATAAGACCACCCACACTGAGCACAGTGACCACCTGCTAGCAGCTACTGTTCTGGACATATCCCAGGGAGGTGTGCACAGCACTCTCAGACTGAGGATTCTCAAGGAAGATCTAAGAGCTGGTTGAGGGGAAGCTGCATAGGCAAGTGACTTCTCCTTGGATAATCAGGGGCAGCTAGACCAAATGACCTCTTGATTCTAAATGTCTTGACTCTATGGATCACGTAAGAAGCCATCCCAGCCCGGGTGATATGGCTCAGTGGTTGAGCACCGACCTAGGAACCAGGAGGTCACAGTTCGATTCCCAGTCAGGGCACATGCCCAGGTTGTGGGCTTGATCCCCAGTAGGGGGCGTGCAGGAGGCAGCCGATCAATGATTCCCTCTCCTCATTGATGTTTCTCTCCCTTTCCCTCTCCCTCTCCCTTTCTCACTGAAATTAATTAGTTAATTAATTTTAAAAAGCCATCCCAGAATAGCCATCCCTGGCCTAACAGCCCAGCTGGAGGGGATAAAGGAAGCACTGGGGGCCAGGGAAGCACGGTTCCTTACCTATGGGCCCACTGACCCAATTTTGTTCTCAGCCAACTTAGAAAATTACATCTTTTACTTACATTAACTAAATCAAATTAATGCTTTCATAAGCTATTCCCAAAGTCAAGCTATTTTCAATATAATATCAGAGTAAATGTCTAAAAATAGTCACCATTTCTGATTTTAGAATTTGTATCTACAAGATAATGCCCAGCTAACCTCCCCCTCAACCATTTACCTATAGAAGAATAAATTCATTCCACTTTGGGAGACATCAAAAGATTTTACATTATAGTTGGGGAGAGGGTCAAACCTTTTTAATAATAAAAGGATCGAATTGCTTTTGTTACTAAAAATGTCAAGTATAGGCAAGAAGAACCTACATGAGATTGTAACCATCTCAGTTTCGCCATTATCAGCTGGGGATACCTAAAACCTCACCACCAGCGGTGCAGACTATTTCCCCACCCCACTACCTGGCCCACAAACGCCTCAACATCACATCCACACTTACCACGCCAGCTCCCGGGCTCCCATGACTCCCAGTCACTCCCCATCGCAGGAGGCAGCTCCCAGGGTCCCGCCCACCCACGCACACCAGGCAGGAGCACTGGGTTAGGACTCGCTAGGCTCAGGACTGGAAATCAAGTGGTGCCTCTGAGATGCAAGCAAAGGCTAAACAAAGGCCCCTGCTGACTGAGGCTCCAGAACACAATCTGCCTTTCTCTTGCTGCACCCCACACCCTGCTGCTCACCCTCCCGTCTCCGAGGTAACTTACGCGGAGCTGCTCAAGGTCTGGCGGAGGAGGTGGGAAGTCAGGCTCCTGGGGTTGGAAGGCTTCTCTGACCTTGGCCACCGCTCCCAGGATCCGGTATCCCGAGTCCAGGAAGCTCTTTTGCAGGCCTAAACACAAGACACCCTCACTCTCAGCTGGGCAGGTCAGTGCCCGGGAGCACTGTCTGTCCAGCAGCAGAACTGGTTTCCATGAACAAAAGCTGGATGTCAGGCTGCCAGTACGCCTGCAAGGCAGCGGCTGAGGGGAAGGGAGGTGAGGCAAAGAGGACGCCCTCTTGAGCTCAGGACGCCCTCTTGCCTGCACAACTAAGGAGCACGCAGGACATTGCTGGGCGTGAACACTGGGCTCAGCTGGCGCTCGTCACTTCTCCTAGGAGATAAGTCTGCCGGCTCAGACAGGGGAGATAACAGAGTCCGATTGAGCATATATTCCCGGCAGCTCTTCTCACCTTTCTCCCCGCTCCTTTGCTGCACTTGGCACTCAGCCGGTTAACCCCTATGTTGAGCTGCTACTACTAACTGTGTCCGGTTACCTGGAATTCAGGAATCCACTCAAACTATTAGAAACTCCCTTAGGAAACCGAGTATGTCCGTAGTGGTGATGGGTTGAGGATGCAAGCAGGATTCAGCCTGTGCTAGGGATGATTACATCCTACCCAGACAAGGATGGAAACACTGAATGCTAGGAACAGAAAGGAATTCAGATGTTTCCAAGCAAAGGAGTGGTAACACCTTTAGTAGGAGTGATGAAAATAAGATATAATTCAACAAAAGAAAACCCCGATTTTTTTTTTTTAATGTAGAACCAGGAGAACCAAAGGTCAAACAAAGTAAGCCCCAAAGATTTGACAGAAATAGAGAACATTTTACAGAGAAGAAAAGCAGAAGAGAAATGATGCCAGTTACATAAGCTAAACAGTTGGTAGATTGGTGATCACGTATCTTTTGAGAAATTTCCAAAATAATGACTAACCAGGGCCAGGCGCTATGTTAGTCAGGCAACATTATCAAGTGCAGAGAAGCTGGTCCAGAGAGACTAGCTTACAAAACAACTACAAATATTGCAGAAAGTACCCGGCCCAGTATTATTGTGGACGGGAAGGGATTAGCCCAGTATTCTCAAACTAAGGTGTTGCTCCCAGACTTTGTAGGTGATGGCAGGGGGGTTCCCAATCCTCTCAGCACTGTCAGCTCCCCGACTAACCTCTCAGCTGAGTGAGCCGCCCCGCGCCCTGCTTACCGGGGTCAGAGATGTTTCCAGCCACAGCTTTCGCGTCCATCACCATCGGGGAGATGGTTTTGCTCAGTTCGTCGGAGGCGGCTTTCACGGCCTCCCGGAACTTGGGGTCCTCAGAGTTCTCCACTTCCCTCTTCGCCACCAGCAGGATCCTGTTGGCCCGGCGAGCAATGCTGGTTGCCCCAGCGACCAGCATCTGAGGCTGAATGTTGGCCATGGCCACTTTGCACTTGTCCAGGTCTTTTTTAATGGCTTCTTCGGAAGCATCCAACAGGGATTTGGTATCGATTGCTTCGTCCACCAGCCCTGTCAGGAGAACACAAATGCAGTTTTAGTTTCTATTCTGAAGAACTGAGACTCCAAAACCCAGGTGTCCAAGTCTCTGATGTGAAAGCACGATACCCAGAATCCTCTCCTTCAGCTCAAAGTCCTTCGTACACAGTCCAAGGCTTCCAGGTGAATGCCACGGTGAAACACACGGAGCTGTGGCCCCGGAGGCCACTGGGACTCACGGCATTCACACAACAGCGGTCACTGGCCGCCTCTCGTCTGCCACGGACAGGCAGAACTGCGACGGCCTCGGGAGGAAACAAGGATTGCGTTGGAAGCCTTCGCCACATTATCTGTTGCTAACATTTTCTCCCTCCCATCTTACTCCCCAGCCATCTGTTGCTTGTTGGCAGCGTGGAGTGGCCCAGCTGAGCCACGGGAGGACTCCAATAACCCTCGCAGCCTGCTCCTCGTGTCTGTTACCTCTCTTTAGGCACCTCAGCAGCTCCACTTTCATCTCTGGCTGCTATGGGCCCCGGACCCGGTCACAGCAGGCTCTGCAGGGCGGCAGGGAGCCTACATCCGCCTCTCCTCTCCTCTCCTCTCCTCTCCTCTCCCTCCCTCCACGGAGTGAAGAAGACTCCGAGGTGCCACCGCCACTGTACAGGCACGGGTCTGTAGGTGTTGCTGTCTTCTTCTTCTTCTTCTTCTTCTTTTTTTTTTTTTTTTAAACGACGTAGTTGATGAGTTGGAGGAAACTCTGAGACAAGTTGTATTAAATGGTAGCTATTGTGGTTCCTTGAAATGTGAACCCACTGAAAATGACAGGGACACTTACTGTATCCACAAACACCGCCTCCCGGCCTCTGAAACCAAACTCTGGCTCAGCCTGAGCAAAGACACTATTCAAAGGGGAGATAGGAGCTGTAACAATACACATCACACCGGGAGGGCGGCATGGGAATAAAAGGGACTCAGAGAGTCTCTCTTCAGACAAAGTTGCAAGGCTTGAATGAGAAGCCGCCGCTGCGCAGCCTTAATCAGGGCCAAGTACACTGTCGAGCACATGACCGTCCCTTCATCCAATTACAGCTGAGAAACACAGCCGGCCTGCTCGGGTTTCTCAGGACCCGCTCCACGGATTAGACAAGGACTCCGCACACAACTCTACCTGTCATCTTTTCAACATTATCGATCCACTGGTTCTTCATGGTCTCAAAATGTTCGTAGGCGGCTTGGTTTCCGGGGTTCCTGAGCAGGATGCGAGCGGCAGAGACGACCTGGCAATGACAAAACCACCTTTAAACACCAGGACACCCTTCCACTCCCATAGGAGCCCATGGCGAAACCTTCTCCTCTCGCCCTCCAGGTGGCGCTATAAAGCCAAAAATCAGGAGGTCTCTTCAGACTGAACACGTTAGGTTTGGTCCCTAACAAATAGCTCCCCAGGCAAAAGGTTTTCTGGGCACAGCCTGATTTAAAAATTTTTTTAAAAGTGACAAAGTAAATGGGTGTTCAGTTGATACCTCAGAATATACACAAAAGTGCTATTAAGCCCTTGGTGTCAAGTTTTCATCTTCAAAAGCACCATTGAGAAAGATACTGCCCAGCCACCATGGCTCAGTCGTTGAGCGTTGACCCATTCACCCAGAAGTTACTGGTTCAATTCCCGGGCAGGGCACATGCCTGGGTTTCATGCTCTATCCCCAACAGGGGGCATGCAGGACGCAGCCAGTGATGTTGATGTTTCTCTTTCATTGATGTTTCTATCTCCCTCTCTCTTCCTCTTTCTTTAAAAATCCATTTAGGCAGCTGATTGATGACTCTCTCTCATCGATGTTTCTAGCTCTGTATCTCTCTCCCTTCCTCTCTGTACAAAATCAATAAAATATATATTTTTTTAAAAAGCATTTTTTTAAAAAGGTACTAAACACTACTCAAAACTCATTAAATGAATATTTACAAAAACTGTCTACCATTAACAAAGTGCTTTCACAACTATTACCTTACTAAATCCTCACAACCTTGTGCTAGAGACAGGACAGGAACTTTCTCATTTTATAGTTGCAAAGCCAAGACTCAGAAAGACTGGCTCCAGAGCTCCCCCGTGGTCACTGGTGACACTGGGGGAAGGGACTAAGGGACTAGCGTCTACTGAATATGAGGTAAGTTACAGGCTGCACACTCATCCTCTTAACCCTCAGGACAACACGTTAGGAAGGAATTATCTCCATTTTACAGGTGAGGAAACTCAAGATCACAGAAGATTCCATGTCCAGATCTGTCTCCAAAGTCCATGCTCCAAAGTCCACAGTTGTGTCTAAGTTTAGTTTTCTGTCTCTCTTTTTTAGAAATCTTATTTTTATACAAAAAAAAAAAAAAAAAAACTATGATGCTTTATATTTCGTATCTCATGAAAATTTTTAAAGAAAATTAGATGTTCATATTTTATGGAAGGTTTTTTAAACATTGGAAAAGTGTGACTTTTCAAGAGAATGAAGCTTGTTGACATGCCATTTAGGCAAAAGCTGCACGATGAAAAGACACACTCTTTTCCCTATTTCTCCCTATAAGTTCCCACCAAAGCCCAGCCCAGATCCTAATGCATCAGAGGCACTCAGCAAGTATCTGCTGAGTGAATGAATGAAAAACTACTAATGAGTTTTCTATGACCTGCTTAGAAGGAAAATTACACAAACCACGCTAAATGATGCTGCACTGATATTTTTAAGAACACCGATTACCTATCTTTTGCTCCCACTTGTCCAGTATACTGCTTACAGCCTACTAGCTATATCTTGGTTATATGATTAAATAGAAAAAAGAAAACAGGTTATGGATACAAATGAGAGGGTTTTTTTTTTAAAAAAACCCTATGAGAAAAGGCATAAGCTCTAAAATCAAAACAAAGTAAGCCCCCAAGATTATCTGAATCTTTCCTTAAGTGTGAATGAGTGTGTGTAGGGAAAGAAGAAGGGGGCCTTTATTAATATTTTCTACTTTCAAACTAATCTATTATCATTGTAAAAAAATTCAAACAATACAAAAATAATTTTAATATTGTGGGTATGTGTTTTCTTCAGAATATTTTACAGTAAGTGCTCAAAATGTATGGAAACGGTTCTGTAATTAACCTTAATTTCTGAGTGTTGCGAGGTGAGACTGAAATGATGAAAAGTGAGCAAAACTCAACCTGGGGCGTGAGTTCCCGGGCTGTCTTCACTGAAGCCTGAATGCCTTCCACTGCTGACTTATTAGCAGTTCCAACAGCAGCTGCCTTCTCGGCCGTGGCACCAAGCCTTCCTGAATGGTTCTCAAAGTTAGCTGCTCTCTCGTCAAACACCTGAAGGAATCAACAAAGACATTAGAAAAATGTATTTAAATAAAATGGGTCTGGCAGCCAAAGAAAGAGTCTCTCTTTAAGTAGAGGCAGCAACTACTCGAACAAAGACTTCAGAGATCACATCCCACCCTCGTGAGCAACAGGATAGTCAACGTCAATCCTGGCCTTGCTGCATCACACACCCGTGAATTCCGGTTCAACCAGTGCTTACCAAGTACAAACAGAACATTTGGCTGTGTTGTCTGTAAGAAGGGGTTCACAAAATGTAAAGATTTAAATAATCCCCATTCTCACAAGGCTTATCCTAGTTTGAAGAAGACAGACAAGCCCACGCCAGGCTCCAGGGCAGGTTGCTGGGTATATTAAAAGGTAAGAAGATCCAGAGTCTTAAACCGAGCTCCAGCGCCTCAGGCCAGCATCCCTCCCAGATCAGTTACCATTAATGTTGTAAAAATTCTGCCCTGACCTCCACAGGAAAAACGATAGCAGGCTCACAATCAGGCCTGACCCAGGGTAAGGACGCTGACTTTCATTATCCCAAGTGCAAAACAATCTCCCGAATTGTTCTTTCAGCTCTCACATTAAAAAAAAAAAAAAAAAAAAAAAGTCAGCTTTTCTTCTGACACAAATATTATACAAGATTGCATACTATGAAGGGGATGGTTTAACTTCGATAAAATGACATAGGATCTCCTATCGTTGGTCAGGTTTACACAGCACAGAGCATGTCATAAATTGTCTAGCAGAATCGTCCTTCTCTTTGCCTTCCCTGGAGTCTACCTGCCCACACTTGGCGAGCAGCTCTGGTTCTGGCCAGCATCTACAGGTCTCCTGGTTCACCAGCAGGCTCCAATCTCAGTGCCAGCATTCTTGGCTTACCCATTCAGGTCTCTCCCCCATTCTGGCCTCTTGTGTGGACGTAACTACCTGAGTTCTTGCCATTTAATGTTCAAAATCTCTACCTAAATCTCCGATCTCCTCGTCTCCTTCACCTGGCCTCAGTCCGTGTTTCTTCCCTTGGCTGGTCTCCCACACCCTGGATCTACAGGGCTTCTGCCAACATTGGTTGATCATCTCGACCCCAGCCCATGTCTGCTGCTCTCTCTGATTAAACTGACTGCTTCACTTGCTGTTCTTGTCACTCAATCAAAATTTACCCAGCACATACTATGTGCCAAACACTGGAGTAGATGCTGAAGATACAAAGACAAATAAAACAAAATTTCTGCATCTCAAGTAGCTCACATCCCAGTGGGGTAAAAAGGCCCACAAGCAGATATTCATAACAGAGTGTGCCATGTGCAATAATAAAGATAAGCATTGATATCATGGAAGTAAAAGGAAAGGCATTTAGTCTATCCATGAAGTAAAGGATAATGGAATAAAAGATAAATAGGAATTAACTGAAAAAAATCAGTAGACAATTAGGCAGAGAGACAGAAAGAACAAAGACTTGGAAGGAAGAAAGGACAGAGTATTCAGGAAATTATAAGCAATTAGGCATTGCTGGGGCGTGGTCTGCGAGACAGGGGTTGGTAGGAAGTAGGTGTATAGATCATAGTGCTCTGGCTTTCTCCTCTGTGAAAGGAAGGTCCGCTGAGGGTTTAAGCAGAAAAATATCAGGGTCAGATCTGTACTTTTATTTTATTGGTGGCCTAGTGACTGACTCACGGAAGACCAACCAGAGCTGAACAGTCAGTCAGTCATACAGCCGCAGGGGACAAGGCTCAGAACTAGAGCTATGGCAACATGAGTGAAAAATGGAAAGGATTCAAGAAATACTTGTGAAATCAAAACAGCTTGTCTTCGTTTACTGATGTGGGAAGATGAAGGGAAGGAAACAGTCAATGGTGACTCACAAATTTCTGAGAGAGAACAGAAGGATAACGTGCTGAGGTACCTATGAAACATCTAGGTGGATCTACTAGCATAAAACTCAGAGATGCCAAAATAAAAATAATAATAAATCATCCCAGCCTACGGGGGACATGAGCTTTATAAACATCCAGTAAGAGATACATTGCTTAGATCACTCCTTTCTGCGGTGAACGCCACGGAGTAAGCATCGTTGGAATTTCCCCTGTTGCAATCATCATGTCTAAGTCTGAGTCTCCCAAAGAGCTGGAGCAGCTGCGGAAGCTCTTTATCAGAGGTTTGAGCTTTGAAACAACTGATGAGAGTCTGAGGAGCCATTTTGAGCAATGGGGACGCCCACGGACTGTGTGGTGATAAGAGATCCAAACAACAAGCGCTCCAGAGGCTTGTCACCTATGCCACTGTGGAGGAGGTGGGTGCAGCCATGAACGCAAGGCTACGCAAGGTGGACGGGAGAGTTGTTGAACCAAAGAGGGCTGTCTCAAGAGAAGATTCTCAAAGACCTGGTGCCCACTTAACTGTGAAAAAGACTTTTGTCGGTGGTATTAAAGAAGACACTGAACAACATCACCTAAGAGATTATTTTGAACAGTATGGGAAAATAGAAGTAATTGAAATCATGACTAACCGAGGCAATGGCAAAAAGAGGGGCTTTGCTTTTGTAACCTTTGATGACCATGACTCTGTAGACAAGACTGTCATTCAGAAATACCATACTGTGAATGGCCACAACTGTGAAGTAAGGAAAGCCCTATCTAAGCAAGAGATGGCTAGTGCTTCATCCAGCCAGAGGTCGAAGTGGTTCTGGAAACTTTGGAGGTGGTCGTGGAGGTGGTTTTGGTGGAAAAGACAACTTTGGTCGCAGAGGAAACTTCATGGTCGAGGTGGCTTTGGTGGCAGCCGTGGTGGCGGTGGATATGGTGGCAGTAGGGATGGCTATAATGGATTTGGTAATGATGGAAGCAATTTTGGAGGTGGTGGAAGCTACAATGATTTTGGCAATTACAACAATCAAACTTCAAATTTTGGGCCAATGAAAGGAGGAAACTTTGGAGGCAGAAGCTCTGGCCCTTATGGTGGTGAAGGTCAATACTTTGCCAAACCATGATACCAACGTGGCTATGGCGGTTCCAGCAGCAGCAGTAGCTATGGCAGAGGCAGAAGGTTTTGATTACAGTCAGGAAACAAAGCTTAGCAGAGGAGAACCAGAGAAGTGACAGGGAAGATACAGGTTACAACAGATTTGTGAACTCAGCCAAGCACAGTGGTGGCAGGGCCTGGCTGCTACAAAGAAGACATGTGTTAGACAATACGCATGTGAATGGGCAAAAAAAACTAGAGGACTGTATTTGTGACTAATTGTGTAACAGGTTATTTTAGTTTCTATTCTGTGGAAAGTGTAAAGCACTCCAACCAAGAGTTTTAATGTAGATTTTTTTTTTTTCCCACCCATGCTGTTGATTGCTAAATGTAATAGTCTGATCATGACGCTGAATAAATGTCTTTTTTTTTTTTTTTTTAATGTGCTGTGTAAAGTTAGTTTACTCTGAAGCCATCTTGGTAAATTACCCCAATAGTGTGAAGCTAGAATTCCTTCAGGGTGATGCCAGGTTCCATTTGAAATTTACTTACAACCTGCTTGGACACAGAAGCCACTGTCTTCAGAAACTTTGGTGTAGTTGAATTGATAGTTACTGTGTTGTGACCTGGAGTTCACCATTAAAAAGGTCACCCAAGCAGAGTTATGGAGTTCATTTGGTTATTGATGATTATTGGCACATCCTATGCAATATATCTAAATTGAACTATGGTACCAGATAAAATTATAGGTGGATATGAAGCTGGTGTATAATCCATTATCATATATAATCAATAAACGATTTACTAACATAAAAAAATAAATAAATAAACATCCAGTAAGCTAGCCTGGAGGAAAAAAATGGGCGTCATTCACAAATAATAACACAATCCTTCACCTACTAGTTCTGCATTGTCTTGGGTGCTTGACCTAACCCCTTTTCCTTTGCTGGTAATACTAGATGCTAGAACCAGACACTTGCTTTCCTAGATTCCTTTGCCTCTGGGGTAGCCATGTGACAGAGTTCTAGCCAATAAGACTTAAGCAAAAGTATCCTGGAAGATTCCTAGGAAAACCTTTACTTCATTCAGTCATTCAGTCAATCATTCCCAACTCTATGCCACACATTGTTCTAAGAACTGGGAATAAAGTAATAACAAACACAATCTCTGCCCATGTGGAATTTCATGCTAATGTGAGGAAGATAGACAAACAAAAAATAAGGTAAATACGTCAAATGCTGATAAACATTAAGGAGAAAAGTAGGATATGAAGATTAGGAAATACCCATGAGTGGAAGTGGAGTTGCCATCGTAGGTGATGACCCAGAGGAAAGCTGAAAAAAAAATGAATGAATAATATGTGTAGTTCTCTATGTAGGCAAATGAGAGAACAAATACAAAGGCTCCAAGGCTACAACATGTAAAAGTAATCAAGGAATACTAGAATATAATGCAAGGAAGTTGATGTTGAGAGAAGAGCATGAGGCAGAAGAGTGGTACCACCTAAGGTCAGAGCAGAAGGGAGACCAGATGCAGTGGTGTGCTGAGGCTCACACCAGCTCACCAGAACCTTGTGCCCCTCTCTTCCCGACTGAGCTTTCAGAGACTTCCCATTGCAACAGCCATGATGGGAGTATTACATTATGGAAACAACAAACATTACAAATCAGGGCTTTTTTCTGGAGAACTAGTCTACCAGCACAACGCTGACTTGACTGTTCTCAGGACTCTGGCCTCATTCAGAAGGATTTGAGTAGAAGAATGGTATCAAATAATTTAAAAGGTTGCCCTGATTTCTGTGTTCACCTTAAGAAAGAGGTGGTTGTGACAGGAGTACTCCCACCTCTCATTTCTTACTGCCTTGAACCTGATGACTAGGGTGGCAACAACAATCTCACGCCATGAAGAAAAGACCCAAGAAAATCTCAGAGATGCCTGCTTTCATGGTGTCAAGCTGCTGAATCAATACCAATGCTACCTACCTCCATGCCTCTTTTTATGTGATGAAAATAAAAACCCATTCGTTTGCATCTCTAATGGTCAGGTTTTCTACTACTTACAACTAAAGACATGGCCTACAGACATTCTTAACTGATACACTTGGTGACTAAAAGAAGAGATGGCAGGGCCTTCCCTCTTCTATCCTTCCACCCTTAACCCACAGTATCCCAACCTGATGTACAATAAAAACACATTTTACCTTTACAAACAAATCATCAATAAATAAGTATGTGTATGCGTGTGCGCATGCACGGCAGGAGAAATGGAAGACTTTAGATACTCACCTCTTCCCTGTTGGGTGCATCAGGAGGTGCAGTGGCCGCCACAGCCAGCAGCTTGATGGGAGTTGTGGTATCGCTGAAAACATCTGATACCTCCTGAGTCATGGCCTCTTGCATCTGGGCTTTCAGATCCTTAAAAACATTGTTTACAAATTAAAATTCCCCAAAATATCTAAAAAGCACATCTGCCAATGTCTTCACTTCAATGACACACTCATTCATTCATTTAGTAGTCTTTTATTCAATAAGCATCTGTTGGGTAACAACTATACTGAGCTAGCATGAAACAGGTATAAGATATGAATCCTGCCCTCCGAACAATTAGTGTGTAGTAGAAGAGGTAAAACTTGGCGCACAGTTCCTTAGAGGCTGTTCTACCCAATCAAGAAATCTTACTTCCTTTCTTGGTGGCCTCTAAGAAATGATACTGAGGATTATGGGGTTGCGCCCAAAGAAGGCCTAGGAGAGAGAATTCCTCATCATTCCCAATGCTTCAGGGGCCTGATAAGGACCACAGTAACTATAAAGATTGATTTGTGGAGGCAGTGTCAATTTTCTAAGCATTTTCTTACATTAAGAGGAAGGAAATCAAGAATGAGAATATTTTTATACATTTTTTCCATTGAGTTTCTAGAAATATTTGATAACCAATGCATGTATCCATTTCTAAAGAATAGAAATCTCAGAAGTCATCAAATGCTCCTTTCACACAGTTATCACACTCAGTCCAATCTAAGTTTTCTATATTTACCCAAAGAGTCTCAATCACCCGTTTCTCAAGGTGGGTGGCATGTACTGGCTGTGATACCTGAGATACTTTTAAATGTGATATAACATAATGTTTTTATTTTAATAATTATGTGTTTCATTTAAAGAATATTAGAGAAATTTGGCTAGTGTTGCTCAATAGATTGTCATCTCATGTACCAAGAGATCACTGGTTCAGTTCCTTCTCAGAGAACATGCTCAGGTTGTGGGCTGGATCCCCAGTAGTGAGTCTGCAGGAGTCAGCTGAGAGATGTTTCTCTTTCATTGATTTTTTTCCCCCTTCTCTCCCTCCCCCACTTTCTCTCTATACAAAAATAAATAAAAAACATACTTTTTATTAAAAGAATATTAGAGAAAATATAATTAGCTCATCAAGCTCATGATTTCAGGATTATTAGAAAGTTTTCTTTTAAATAAATTTACTTGTTTAAAAGAGGAGTCCATTTGAAAATAAATATTGACTGAGAAGTACAGGTGACACATGGATAAAGCAAATATCACAAAATAGCTCTCGACTCGGTAAAACAGTGAACACAACTTTAGTTGCTGTCACCCACTGGTGAGCTTTTCCATGAGCAATAATGGCGCCTCAGATATTCCTCATTAGCTATGATACTGCCACAGCACAAAGCAACTGGTGAGCTATTTCCTAATAAGCTCTGAATTTCCTTACTTCTTGGTCACACTCTTTTCACTTTCCCTAGACTAAAGAATTATATATTTTTTTAAATCCTCCTTCCCTAGTTTTTTAATAAGTAAGCACAAGAAAAGGAATGCTTTGTGTTCCTGAGTTCTACCTTTAAGGAGTCTTGGAGCTGCGATGCCAGCGCTCTTGCCTGGGGGCTCTCCCCTTCCCCTCTGGCAGCCAGGTCAGCCAGCTGGGCGGTCAGCTGGTCCACTCTGTCACACTTTGCAAGAAGATCTTGACGATACGGCCCCATCATGACATTAGCCAGACGATGGCCTTCGGCCACGAGCCCTCGGATGGCAGCCTGACCTGGACCGAGAGAAAAACACTGAAACAAAGACTGAGAGGGCACCTGCAGTGCCATCTGGTAAGTTGTTTATTTTTTTAATAATAATATTTAGTGAGTTTTCCCCTCTAAAAATAGGGGGGAAATGGGGAAATACAGAAAAATATAAATAATAGATAAACCACTCATAATCCATAATCCACTCATAAACCATCACACCCAGATTGAGATATTTGAACATTTCCTTCTGGTCTTTTCAATGCATTACATGTTCCTCTGCACATACACATTTCACATACATTTCTCCTTACCAAACAGAAGTCACCCTATACATTAACCTTTACTCCCTGCTTCTTTTTATTTAACATGAGCATTGTCCGCATCATTAAATAGTCTTCAAAAATCATGATCTAAAATCTATGTAATATTTTATAATCCTAACCAAACTTAGTTGGCCATTTACTTATTATTTAACATTTACTCTGTTTATATATATTCTTGTATGTAATTCCTTAGAAACATCTCTAATTAGAGTAAATTCTTAGAAGTCCGATTGCTGAGTAAACGGGTATAAACTTCTTTGAAGCTCTTGACACATAACACCAGATTGTCATTCAGGAAGTATGTTATTAACCAATTTATTCTTTCACCAGTAAATTACATATCTGCCTGATTCCCCAATGCTGGGAATCACCAATTTAAAAGTTTATCTTTTTATCCAATGAATACAGCAAATGAAATAAACAGCTCTTTAAGTTTCAGCTGGGCTTGTTGTCATAAAATGACCTAAATTCTTATAAATCCATTCCTAAAATCTCCCAGAAGTGAAAATTTTAGGTTATTAATTCCACTAGTGACTATATGATACAGAAGCCCTCCTAACTGAAAATAACCTTGGTAGTTAAGTGTCTATTACTATTTTCAAAAATTATATTTTACTAGGTATTTTCTAAGGACTCTTGTAATAGAAATACGATAAAATGGAAGTATACATAGACTAAAAATAATAAGCTCAAAACTGCAATTCCAATCTGAGGACCTTTCTATTTGCCCACAGCAAAATCACTTATTCACTAATGCTTCTTGATTAAATCACAGACATCTTATCAGCTACACTGGAAATAGAGTTACTGCAGAATGACTCCCTCATCAGTAACTGAGAACTGAGAAGCCCATCTGCACTTAATTACAGATGATTCAGGGTCTCCATCAACAACTTGCCGGTTTTCACTGAGTCCAGTCTAAAGATAGTTAAGTGCACTGATGGCCTTACCGACTCCCCGGTCGTCCACTGTGGGATTATCAATCCACCGCTGTGCTTGCTCAATCTTGCCCTCAAGGTGGACCGCTGCTTTGGCAGGTCTGCTATTGGCCACAGTCCTATTGGTTTTGGACTGCAAGTTCTGCAGGGCAGTGGCCACCTGCTTGGCCAGTGCTCGGGCCTCTGGGGAATCTCCTTTCCCCCTGCAGAGAAAAAACAGCCTTTCTGTCCCACACAGACACTATTTACACTGAGATGACGTAATTGCTGATACAAATGCTAATGAGATGTCAAATTGCTAATAATTATGAACTTGGTTTGAAAGAAGAATATGCTTATCTATTTTGCCCTTAAATAAGAAAGTAATCACCTAAATTCAGATAGTTTTGTTCCAGTTAAGACATTAAATATAAGTTTTGATCAGTTTAGCTCAATCAAGAACACCCATTGGTAAGCTGAGCTCAATCAATCGTCACTGCGTTAGCTGTCCCTTCAGCCTGTCATCTCTGAAAAACTAGTTCCCTGAGGAGCAAGGTGGGCCCAAGTAGCCATATTTGTTGTGTAGTGGTAGCTGAAATAGTAGAACTAGTAGTAACTTTTTAAAAAGCATTAAAAAGGTTTGCTATAATACAGTATGCCTTGTTTCGCTGGCAGCAGCCTCATACATCTCATCTTTACTGCATCTCTTGATCGTATCATTTCCTATTGTGCTTAATTTAATCTCATGTTGCTTTGTATAGTAATATGCTGTACACTCTTGTAGCCTAGGCTATACCAAATTACCTATAAAGGCACGTTGTATGTAGGTGTATGTGTGTATGTGTATTACTATCTGCATGACATAGTAATAATCTGTTATATCACCATTACCATTAATTCTCTTATTATTATTAAGAAACACTAATGAGTGCCTGCTATGTATGTATATGGGCTTGTATTAGGGTGCTAAGAATAGTGTCTCCAATTGTGAATATTTTAAAATCTAACGAATGTAAATAATGGGTTAATTTTATGAGCATTGACCTAACTATTATATATAAACATTATATTTTTAAAAATGTCAAATTATGCATTTTCCTAACCTAAATAATTCAAAACTTGGGCCTAAAGCAGAAATCCTCAAATGATTGGGTTTGATATACAATCAGATTTCAGTTGTTACCTCAATTGATCTCTATCACAATCTCCTACCTAAAATATGTCTACCCTGCTCCCACCCACTTCCTATTTCATGCTTTCTCAGCCAACAGTGCCCCCTTGGTCAGTGTGAGACTTGACAGAATGCTGAAGGGAAAAGGTGAGGCACGCTATGCTCCCAGGGAAGAGCAGGAAATGCAGCAGGAAAAACAGAATCTCACAAGATACTTGACTATAGCTATCCCTGGGGAAGTGGCTGGAGGGCTGGCAAAGGAAAGAAGCAACTTACACTTTGACGCTACATCTGTTTTTTAGCATGTGCTACAGGTTTTATTTTTAAGAGAGTAAAATATATGTTAAAAGGAAAAAAGCAACCCTTCTTCTTAATCAAAGTAGGTGCCATTGCCCTGGGTAGGTGGCTCAGTTGCTTTGGCATAGTCCCCGGTACCCGGGAAACAGATATGTCGCAAACAGGATATAGCAGAAAAAGTCCTATCTTAGAAATGGAAAATACAGACCTCAAAAAAAGGAGTTCTTACCATCCTTAATTACTTTAAAACTATATGATCAGCAATAAGTCATTAAACTTCAATGGTGTCAGTGAAAAAAAACAGAGTAATATCTAATGTAGTCACATAACACAGAATCGATGAGAGCACAGTGAAGAGCATCGTGTATGTGCTTAGGGGAAAAGGAGAGAGATTAAGGGGTGATTTAAACAATTAAATACATACTGTCTTCGTAAGTCTGCTAATTTAGAAGTCAGAGCAGCTATTTCTCCAAGAGAACGTAGAATGTCATCTCTCTCTTTAGGATCGTCACATAATTCTGCTATTTTTCGAGCTTCAGCCAAAGCCCCTCGAATCTGTTCTTCTCCTTCTGGTCCACCATTTGGATCTGCCAGCCAGTTCTACACACACAGATGTGGAAAAGAAGCACACTGTGACCCACTCAAAACCACATTACAGCACGCTTAACCAGGCATCAGAAATATTTCACCAGCAATCACAAGGCACACCGGTAACGGTTTTTGAAATGCTGATCATAATGGCTTTACACACATTCTTAGCTCAGGAAAAATCAAATCAATCTTTTAAAAAATAATTTCCCCCTTTGCCATTAGAATAACATATCCTTACAAGCTTTATCTCATCTCTGAATTAGTCACATCTTATTAATTCTTCGGTTTCTCAAACATTTATGTTTCTCTATGAAATGCAATCTTTTTACAGTACAGAAGTATCCAAAAACTTTAACCCTTAATATTGTTATGACCAAATACAGCTGCAAATTCTGAGAAGAGCAGTTTTAATATACTGTAATCTATACCAGGAACTAGGATTCTCTTGGTATTCAGAGTGCTTACTATTAACTAATCCGAGTATTCAAAAGTAAGATGTTTATCACAATACAGATAAATATCAGTCTAAACCTGTGTAAGTAGGAAAGATGTTATTATTGGTAACTGCTGGAAATTAATCATCACTTACAAACATCCATTATCCACCCACCGTCAATGAGAGAGAGGGAGGGAAGGGAGAGGGAGGGTTAGACAGAGGATATTTGCGGTACATTTCTTTCTTATTTCCCACCCCTCTTAAAAATCGTCACTACTACCTGGGCAGCATCGATCTTCTTGGCAATGCTCTGCTTTGAGTTTGTCATGGCCTCCAGTTTGCGGGCTGCGTTCTCTACTTTGGCTGTGAGCACGTCCAGACCCTGCGACACCTGCTGGGCTTTCTGCATGGCCACGGGCAAGGCTCCTTGTCCTCTACTCAAAACAGACAGATGCTGTCATTGCACCCTCTCATCTACTTCATAGCAAAATGTCACTAAAAACACAGGCCATGGCATTTCTGTAATGTGCTGGTCTTTTTCCTTTTCTTCAGTAAGTCTGAGACAGCACAAGAAAATACAGAGATAAACCCAAAACATCTACTTTCTCCTTTGTTTTTAAAAACACACATGAGCTTTGTGGAGCTGCATAACCATTTTAAAGACCAGGCCTGCAGATTTTGATAATAATGACTCTCCTCTTGGTGGGGATTACATAATCAACTCTACACTTCAGGGGGGAAATGTGCCTGCGATCTTATTGCTATGGAGGGTTTTGTTGCCATAGTAATGAGTGCTTCAGAAATAAACAGCACATTAAATTGTCTTATTTATGGGCAAGCACACATTAAAACTGTTTCCGGAGGCAGCATGCATAGTGCTACTGAGAACACACCATCCTGGAGCCAAACAGAACTGTGTTCACGTCCTGCCTCCTGGTCCCTGAACCGTCTCTGTGATGTTTAACTTTCTAGGGCTTCCGTTTCCTAACTTATAAAATGAAGGAGGCAAGCAGCTTTAAGCAAAAAGATATTTTTGAAAATATTCTGGTAATAAAGCAATACACATAAATAACTATTAACATTATTGAATTGTCATTTTTATTATAATGAACCTAATGACAATCTTAAGTATCTGTTTTCCACTCCTATGCAACCTATAAATACCAAAAACCTATAAGTACCAAAGTTAGGACTGAGGGGGGAAAGCGCATGGTGTTGAGAAACCACTGCTTCCCATCAAATTTCTAAAGAACTAATTTTGCTAAAAAGTGATATAGTACTACTACCAAAAAAAAAAAAAAAAAAAAAAAAAAAAAAAAAAGAAGGAAGAAACTTCTTTTCCCTTGGAAGACACTTTTCAACTCATAACAAAGTAAAATCTTCCCTCCTTTTACCAGCTCAGATTTTGTAATCTACCCAGACTGGTAAGCTCAGTGATAGGGTCACACATTTGTCATTTGGTAGAATGGGATGATTCATTGTCCTTAACCTGAGTTTCTGATTTGAGGATAAACCCCAAAACATATTTGCTTCCCTTAATAATAGTATGAATCTGCCACTCATTTTTCTATCCTTTTTATAAATTTATCTTTGTTTTCCATCTATACCTATACTTTAAGTATCAATTCATACTTATTGCAAGGTATATAAAAGGCATTTATACCTTTTACTTGTATTTATACCTGATGCTTCCATTTACATGGCAGAGGAGTGAAGGACTTTTAGGAAATATACTGGTCATGATTTAATTTGCTTTTTTTCTTCAAATCTAGTAATTGATGATGAAGAACCTTTTTGATATGAGTCTAACTTTGAAAAAGTAAAAATACTTATGGGCTATATAGTTTTTTTTCATTAAAAATAAAAAGTTTAGCCGAAATCGGTTTGGCTCTGCGGTAGAGCGTCAGTCTGCAGACTGAAAGGTCCCAGGTTCGATTCCAGTCAAGGGCATGTACATTGGTTGCGGGCACATCCCCAGTAGGGGGTGTGCAAGAGGCATCTGGTCAATGTTTCTCTCTCATCGACGTTTCTAGCTCTCTATCCCTCTCCCTTCCTCTCTGTAAGAAAAATCAATAAAATATATTAAAAAAAAAAAAAAAAAAAAAAAAAAAAAAAAAAGCTTAGCCCTAGCCAGTTTGGCTCAGTGGATAGGGCATTGGTCCATGGACTGAAGGGCTCCAGGTTCGATTCCAGTCAAGGACATGTACTTCAGTTGCAAGTTTGATCCCCGGCCTTGGTCGGGGCTCCTGTGGGAGGCAACCAAATGATGTGTCTCTTTCACATTGATGTTTCTCTCTCTGTGTCTCTTCCCCTCCCTTCCACTCTCTTAAAAATCAATGGAAAAATATGCTCTGGTGAGGATTAACAAAAATAAACAAATAAAAGTTTATTGAGTCCCATGGGGAGAAAGTATATACTTACCACCTAGATGCCTTAGGTGACTGAATCAGAGAATATCATTGAGGAAACTTACTGAGCTTCAGCCACTACAATGTTAAATAGGGAGGCATACTTAAGAATGACAGGAGATGGCTTTCTAGTCTTTCATCATGAAAGGATATTGTAGGCTCCACAGTGAATTGGGCCCCTACCAGATTAATGGTTGATCCCATAGAGAAACTATCTCATTCTCTTGCTCAAATTCATCTTTCTTTGAGCACATACAACTGTGAACTCGAGAATTCCAAGTGAAAACTGTCTACCACACTGTGAAACGGCTGCAGACAAAAGAGCCAACAGAGAGAAATCAGAAGAGCCAAAATCTCATCAAATGCGTTGGCATTTCTCCGAATGGGGACAGAACTTCTTTTTGTCCTTTCTGTAAAGTTCTTGTCATGCTCATGACGGGGGAGACTGCTTCGCAGCAGGAGAAAAAGGCTCACCGAGGTCAATGAGATACTATTATTCATGCTGTTCCTTTCCCCGACCCCCTTCAAGGTCGAGACTCTTAACTTGAAGCCCCTGGAGCTTCCAGGGCCAACTGGACCACTGAACCTCTGGAAAGTGTATGTAATGCTGTTTACATGCACTTTTTAGGTAGAGATTAATGGCTTTCATTGGATTATAAAAATGATGTTGGTCCATAAAAAGGTTAAGAACTATATTCTTAAGTCTATTCTATAAATATATTTGAGACTGGGTGTAATGGTATGCAATATGTCAAAGAGTGTTTCTGAGGCCTGCCTATTCCAATTATCTCAAGATATTTCATGATAGCCTGACATATGAACCAGGAGGTCATGGTTTGATTCCCGGTCAGGGCATATACCTGGGTGGGGGGCTCAATACCCAGTGAGGGTCATGCATGCTTCTGTCTCTCTCTCCCTCTCCCTTCCTCTCTGAAATCATTAAAAAAAATTTTAAAAATATATACTTCATGACATTTTTGAAGCAAAATTAAACTTCATTTATACTAGTTTCTCATGTTACTTAAATTTTTCCCAATGTCCAAACTAGAAAATTCCATAAAAATTAGGATCTTTTAGAACTTTATTAACTCTATGAATGAGTTCCCCCAAAAAACCTATACATATTATACTGAGTTTTCTTAATAGCAAACTATATATATTTAATTTATAGGAGAAAAAGTTCTAAAAGCCAAGACTTGAGCTGAGTGAAAGAATTAAGAAACCAAATGAATAATGATGAAACAGAAACTTAAAAGAGCCTAGAAATGACCAAGCTAAAGAAGGAAGAGTTCACGTCACTCTCCAAAGAATTAATAGAGTATCATGACCATTTTGTTTATTAGCCAAAGACCACACAGTAAAATTAATAGACTTGCTTCTGAATCATTCCGTCAGGAGTGAGGTCCTAACTATGACCGACTGCTGCTCTGTAAGAGCAGAGGAACTATACCTGGCTCGGAGGTCAGCCACTTGGTCAGTCATCTGCCCTAGCATTTTGCAGGTTCCCAGGATCTCTCTGCGTTCTTTGCCTGCACAGAGTTCACCGACTTTCCCAGCTTCGTCTAAGATCTGCCTGATGGCCTGCTCACCAGCATCCCCTAAAATAAAGAGATATTCAATATCTACATTGTTAACACATTAATTATGTAGAGAGGGTGCTTTACAAGTCATTTCATTCATGAAGGAACAGATACTTTCAAATGACAAGATGAACAGAAGACAATACAGCTGATAGCTAACAGCCAAGCACTGCCCTTACAACCACAGATACTGCTAAAAAAAAAAAAAAAAAAAAAAAAAAAAAGATTGGAACCATAGCCATTTGGAGGTAATAAGCAGCTTGTGGTAAGAATATGGATGATGAAAATAGGCTCTAACAATTTAATTGTACTCAGCACCCCCAACCTCCATTAGGCTTTTCACATTCATTCAAATGTTTATCTAAAACTGAATAAATATTAGATGAGAAAATCCATAAAGCCTAGCTCAATAAACTATTTGGAGCTTATCTTTATATAAGCTAACTTTGGTTTGAAATTCTTATTGGCATCATTATTTAATCTGCTTAATTAAGTACTTTGTTGACATAAATATGCCCAAAGGGAATAAGAGTTTTTATTCAAAATAATTACCTTTCTGATTCAAGGAAGTGGTGAATCAAGAATTTTGCAAAAAATGCCTAGTTCAGCTCCTTTTATTCCCCATGATAAGAGTTGACTAGTCTATGTCCTCCATCCTTCTAAGACCTAGTAACACTTCAATCAGTCAAAACTAATTGAATGGTCTATGTCCCTAAATGTTGCAGTAGTTATCTCAGGACTATGAGATTCTCGGAAGATCACTTTCTTTTGTCTGCTTGCTTTTAGCTTTTTCTTGTATCTACTTGAAAAGTACAACCGGAGGATTACCTGGGGAGGCACTGGGATCGCGGAGCCAACCTTTGGCCTGGTTCAGTTTGGAATCTATGGAGGCCAATGCTCTCTTCATGGCTTCAGTGTCCTTCCGAAGAGAAATGCCACAATTATTTCATTTGCAAAAATTGAGATACCGCAGTACAAAGTAAGACAGAGAAGTGACAGCACTAACATACACTAGAGGTAAGGTAGTCCTACAAAGCCTTAGAAATGTTCTCATCACACCATAACGCTTATTTCTGTCAAAATGCAGCATCTTGCATGCAACTCTTCAGTTAATTCTATGGTTTGCTGATCTCCCCGGTGCTAAACTGTGAAAACTGCTAAGACAGCTCAAGCCAAAAGATGCTTAATGTCTTCAGCAGGAGCAAGCCCTGTTGCCACATGCCTCAGTATCAGCCTTTCCACTAGGCAACATCCACCTACTGCAGCTCTGCCAAGGCCTCCCGCTCCAGCTTAGGGGAAGCTGCATTAGCATGTGGTGCAGCAAATCACAGTACTTTACACCTTGTTTGGAAATAACACACATCCTGGGTAATGTTTTACTCTATTAAATTAATATAAAATAATTGGAATTACTGGTTGGAAAATAAACGAAAATGTTAACCAAGCAATTTAGTTTTAATTCCACAAATAAACCACTATATGTAATGCAAGAAAGAAGCATTTTTCTGGCCTTTCCTGCCACTCCTCATCCTTAGCTCCCTTACTCCCCTGACCTGGAAGAAAGGCAGGATAAAATAAGTGGGTCTCAACAGATATTTACAACACAATTCACAATGACTAACAAAATTGGCATAAGATCTCCCAGGATATAGCATGAGAAGGTGAAACAACAGACTAGTCACTTAAAATATATATATATTTTTTTAAATAACATTTTTAAAATATAGAAAAATGCACAGAACACTATAACCAATACCCATGTAACCATTCTCAAAATTGACAGACTAACCATCTCTCAAGTCTATTACATGTTAAAAGACAGCCTATCTCCCTTTTGTTCATTCACCAAACCACAGAATTAACCTCTGAAATTCTAGGCAATACCCCATATCCCTAACTTCAATTTTCACTTCCGGTAAAACTTCGGTTCTTAAAGGTGTTGTACCACCTGTTTTCCACACGGGGGCACCAGGAGCATCTCCCCACCCCCATTTCCAATTCAAACAAGACAGGGCACTACTAGCTCAAATAAGGGCTGGGAGCACTCATAGGCTTACGAGGTCAGAAGCCTGATCCCAGCTTTTCCTAAACGCCTATTCACATGAGAGGACTCTCAGCTGTGGATTACCCGCTTTCCCCATTGAAACGGATACAGATTGTTCTCCTGTTGCAACACTGGCTCTCAGAGCAAATTCTCAGCCATAACCACAGAGCAGTGAACTAAGTTACTGGGAAAAAACAAAAATAAATTTGTTTTGTTATCAACTTATATGGACTTATGGTAGCTATCTACCAATTAGAAGAGGCAGAATGGTAAGAGGATTTGTTTCAAAATATGCATTTGTGATTAGAACACGTAGACAGGTGGCATTTTTAAAATGCTTTGCGTCTCAAATGGTTTAAATGCCTGCTCCTCTATCTCATTCTTTCACCTGTGCAGCAAACACGCCTTCAAAAGTAAGACAAAGGTCATGTTAGTTTAATTCCAAATTAGTGTGGCCCAAATCAGTATTTTTTCAAAGAATATTCCAGGCATCTCCTAACTTTAGAGTTAGATAGCCTTTAGTGCCTAACACAAGTTATAGGACTTTGTCTAGAGACAGATTAAAAAAAAAAAACCACAAGCTCTCACCTAGAAAGTATGTGCACACTCTGAAGAAGAGATATTGCATCCATGTAAAAATAATTAATCTAAAATCTATTAACCATTTACCCACATATTTTCAGTGAAAATAATATTTATTGCATTTTTTAAATCTAAATTCAAGAGTAAACTATGATCAGAAAAACTTTTTAGTGTCTATCCCTGCATTTAAAGGCTACTAGTTAAGAAATACTTTAACTGAGCAGTTCCTGCATTCTAGGCTGCTGGAGGCATTGTTCCCTCATTACTTCACAGAACCTCAAATTTAAATGTAATTTAATTTTACTAATTGAGAAACTGGGGCTCTGCAGTCCTAGAAATCCAATTTGACCTCAGGTTGATCAAAATCAAATGTCACTATTTTCTATTACATGAAACTCAAGACTTTTTTTTCTTTTAACAAAGAGAGTCGCCAAAGAATCCACTAACCTTCTATAATACTCAGCAATATCTGCCTTGTCGATTTTGACTTTGGTTAATACTGCTCAGAAAATAAGCTCTAGAATCAAATTAATAACTCACTAACCTGAAAGAATGCTTTTATTCTCTATTACCCAAAAATGATTTCAAACACAATGGGGGGGAAATTTGACTTGCTCTATTATCCTGAAACATCATTGCTTTTTATCCCCTCCTCCCTAATAAAGTATGAATGGCTACCACATTTCAATGAAAGACTCTAATTCTCAGGAAGTGAGTAATTTTCTCCTCGGTGAAGTTAAAGTTAAGCCTGGCAGGTGTGGCTCGGTGATTGAGCATCAACCTCTGCACCAGAAGGTCCCAGTTCCATTTTCCATCAGAGCACATGCCCAAGTTTAGGGCTTGATCCCCAGTAGAAGGCATGCAGGAGGCAACCAATCAATAATTCTCTCTCATTGTTGATGGTGTTTTTTTTTTTTGTGTGTGTGTGTGTGTGTGTGTGTTTTAATATATTTTATTGATTTTTTACAGAGAGGAAGGGAGAGGGAGAGAGAGTTAGAAACGTTGATGAGAGCCGAGACTGGTTTGGCTCAGGTTTGGCTCAATGGATAGAGCGTCGGCTTGAGGATTAAAGGGTCCCGGGTTCGATTCCAGTCAAGGGCATGTACCTTGGTTGCGGGCATATCCCCAGTAGGGGGTGTGCAAGAGGTAATTGATCGATGACTCTCTCTCATCGATGTTTCTAACTCTCTATCTCTCTCCCTTCCTCTCTGTACAAAATCAATAAAAAATATAAATTAAAAAAAAAAAAAAAAAGAAACGTCGATGAGAGAGAAACATTGACCAGCTGCCTCTTGCACACCCCCTACTGGGAATGTGCCCGCAACCAATGTACATGCCCTTGACCGGAATTGAACCTGGGACCTTTCAGTCTGCAGACCGACGCTCTATCACTGAGCCAAACCGGTTTCGGCTCACTGTTGATGTTTCTATCTCTCTCTCCCTTTCCCTTCCTCTCTGAAATTAAAAAATATATATATATTAAAATTAATAGATGTTCATTTTCCCCTAAAAAGAATCAATGGCAAATTTAGAATGAAGCTGAATTTTTAAAATGAAGATTTCAATTAGTTACCAAAAATTTTAGTATTGTGAATTTTAGACAATTTATAGATTTAAAACAGTCACTAAAAGTGCTACCTTAATTCTTTCTAGAATAGGGCAAATTTTAAATCATCATTTTAAACACAATACATTTTAATGCCATATCTATTAAAAACAAAAATGTCTGTGGGAACAAATATTCAAAACTCCCAGAATTTCAAATATATTGCTTTTGAAAGGCAGTGTTTATTGTGGGATTGACAGAATTCTGTAATAAGCAACATAAGTATTTAACATTGGCTGTGATGTAAGCAAATTCACTGAACAATTTGTAGTGTAAGTCACTATTAAGATATATTTATAGCCCTAGCTGCTTTGCTCAGTGGATAGAGCATTGATCTGCAGTCTGAAGGGTTATGTGCTCAATCCCCAGTGCGGGGTGTGAAGAGGGCAGCCAATCAATGACTCTCTCTCATCATTGATGTTTCTATCTCTCTCTCCCTCTCCCTTCCTCTCTGAAATCAGTAAAAATATTTTTAAGAAAATATTTATAAAGAATGGAAATAATCATAACCCTGTGTGCCACAAGGCCTTCAGTTAGATCTTGTCATGTAAATCTAAGTATCCAGGATACCAATCTGGGTATGACACAGAAGAGAAAAAAACGGCACATTCATTTGAGTATTATCTCTGTAAAATCTCAAATTTGGGTAAGAGAAAAGTCTCCACCGATCTCTTCTCTGAGTTCTTTGGTTCTTTTTTCTTAAGAGTGTAAACGGCCAGATCTGGCCATGCAGCTTCAGCAACAGCTGGTCCCCTCCCACCACGGTCCCGTTTACTGTAAAACTCTTATGAGTTCATGTTTTCGATGAAAAACCACAGTGCCTTGGCACTCCTCCCACATACCAAGAGGTGGAAGAACAACCTAAAAGAACTCCTTCTTACATACATTCCCAGGAACTGAAACAGTCCTGAAATTCAATGTCAAGTTAGAACTAAGTAACACAGAAGAATACTAACAACAACTGAGTTCCTTTTATAGACAATCAAGAGGAACTGTGGTAGGAAAGTAAGGTCCTGCATTACAAGCTCTTGAAAATTGTAAATATGGGACTAAGGATCCCCTCTTTTTCACTGCCCAACCTACTCTCCCTTTTTTCATGAACACCTCCCCAGCTTACTATTCCTACTCAAAGATGTTTCTGGAAAGAAGAGACTGGGCAGGAGAATAATATCTTACAGACTGCATTGAGCAATGGCAGAAGGCTGTTCAGCCCTGACACTTCAAGCGAGTCACCCTCACAGGTTTGAGTTTCCCATCGCTAAGACTATTGGTACCTCCCCAGCTCTAAAACTCTTTGCCATCTCTGAGCACACAATCAGAAATACCAACTAAGATCACTTGGATCAGAAGGGAAACTTCAATTCCTTTAACATTTTGGGCTTTTCTTCTGTTCACAGAGAGGGGAGAAAATATCATAAATGCCTGTATACTAACTATTAATCTCCAATTCCAAGAGATAAATCTTTTATTTTATAGCTCCTAAAATAAAACACTAGGAGCCTCATGAAAAACTCACATGCAGCTTTATTTTTTCAAAAATGAAATAAAAATTGACCCTTAAATCCCAATGGTCTGCAGTAAAGGCAAGTATTAGAGGATTGCATGTTCTAACCAAGTTTCCTTCTTTGGAAGAACAGAGTAATCTGTGTAAGACATCTGAGTCATCAACCGCCACCAGCCTAGGCCCTCAGTGGGAGGAGACTCATCACAGGAACTAATTCTGAGGAACAGTATCTAAAGATCCAAGGCGAAATTGCAGGAGCATCTATGTGGGTTCAAAAATTCTTACCAATAAAAAGGTTTTAAAATTTGTTCTCATTTCCTCTTGATCTCAGCATGCCTCAAGATACAAGTAATAAAAAACACAAAAACATATATATATATATAGATTGCTAATGGGGTTGAATTAGAATTGTTTAACTCATAAATTCTTTTGTTTCTAATGTATTCCCTGGAAAAATGCTAAACTAATTTTTAATGATCACTTATCAGATGATTGTTGATTTAAAGAGGAGAAATTTTTACTCTCAAAATGAAATGAAGTCTTTTGCCCTTGCCGATGTGGCTCGGTTGGTTGAGCATTGTTCCATGCACCAAGAGGTCTCCAAGGCAATTCCCATGCAGGGCACAAGCCCAGGTTGCAGGACTGATCCCCAATGGGGGACATGTAGGAGGCAGCTGATCAATGTATCTCTCTCATTGATGTTCTCTCTCTCTCTCTCTCTCTCTCTCTCTCTCTCTCTCTCTCTCTCTCTCTCTCTCTTTCCCTTTCCCTTTCCCTTTCCCTTTCCCTTTCCCTCTCCCTTTCTATCTCTAAAGTCAATAAAAACAACAATAAAGTTAAGTATTTAAAGGCTGGGTATTTTTTAAGTTTGTAAATTGGCATTTTTAATGGAGGTATGGAGGTTAAATGATCAGCTATTGCATTGCCTCTTTAAAATCTTAACTTATTCAGCAAGATGTACTTTTACCAAGAATTTTTTTCACTTACTTTCTTCCCCCACTTTTCTAGAGGAACCATCATTTTCCAGGAGAAAGCTGCACCAATAGGGAAGCATGAAACAAGTACGGTAAGACAAAGTTAATTCTTTATTGGTAGGGGCGAGAGGAGGTAAAAGATGCTGTATGTATAAAACAGAATGGGAAGCCAGGGGTCACAGACAGACAATAGGTCTGATTAATCTACTGCCTACCGCAGAGCAATGCAAGATGCATAATGCTGCTAAAACGGAAACATACCCAAAACCCAAGTTACCATCTTCCATTTTCAAGTAAAATTTCTTTTTCCTAAGTACTTGTAACTAATAAAAATGATTACTCTTAGGGGGAAAGAGGAGGTAGGGTGAATGGGAATGGGGTTAGGAGTGAGATTTGTTATATATATCATCTCATAGCATTGTGCTTTTTTGTGAACCAGGTAAAGGTATAACAAAGACAAAATGAAATTACAAATAAACATTTATTGCTCATTCTGATGCCATTATGTACTTGGGCTCCTGCAGGCTGAACTAATTTTATTTATTTGCTTTCAGTCTGCTGGTTTTGCAGCATCTTAACAGCCTGGTCCCTTCCAGAGCAACATAAAACTGAGGCAGCTACAAAACTGTACACGGTGGGCCCCAGGCTCATTGCCCTTGTATATCCCATCCCCCTGAGTGTCTAATCCTCATCCTAAAACACTCAACTGAACACTTTACCAAAAAAAAAAAAAAAAAAAAGAGGTAGCTCTCAACACTCGCACAAAATAAAGCTCAGTAACACTTGTTTACTAAATGATGGACGGCTCTTTCCCTCTGAAAACAGATAAGCATTAAGCTGCAATTCCTGCTCCTCCTTTTTACCATTTCTCATCTTTTGGAAGCAAAGCCGAGAGAATAAGGAGATTAGGTTATGGGACCAAGAGGTCATGGAGAATGATGGCTGATTCAAAGATCAGACAGCAGAACATGCAGTGAGCCATGGACTGAAGTCAGGAAAAACTTTAGATACACCTTACTCTTCTCCTTTTGATTTTGAAGACGAGGATTATTGTGAAGGACAGATGCTCCATCTAAACTCTCTAGCCTACCCATTTTCATTATGGCTTGACACCATAATGGCACATCTCCAAAAGCAAAATTCCAGAGCCTGCAAAGGAGACTGATGATAGAGATGACATCAGCTGGAAGTTTCCTAAGGTCAGGGTCCACAGGTAACATAGGGGCCACCCTGCTACATGGGGAAACCTGCCCTTCAAATGAAGTCAGTGGGAATGACTACACCAGGACAGTTCTCAAAGAACAAAAGCACTCACTAAAACACAGGCCCGCAGTGTTTGGTTTTTTTTTGCTTTCCCCAAAGACATTGCTCAGGATGAGCTCGAGTCAGTCTGCCCAGCACAGCCTTCAGTCCCATATTAAATCACAACCTGACGCATATTCGAGCACAGTGTTACACACCGGCACACAGAATAAGGCATGGCACACAGCACAAACACCCTCAGACATGCTTTTTCTCTTTTAAGTGGAAAAAAAAAAAAAAAAAAGAAAGAAAACTAGAGGGCAACAAAAAGCTTACCTTCTAAACGTGAGAAAAAAGAATAAAACAAATAAGAAAACAAAAAAGATGCATAAAGAAGTCATAACAGGGAAGTGAAAGCTGTCAAATACGCAAAAACAAAATTAAGTAAAATTAAAATGATTTTACGATACAGATTTAAAATACAGTCTTAGAACTTGTTCAAGAACTTCGTGCCTCTATTAACAAATCCATAACTCAGGTAAACTGACTAGTTTCTTCTGCATATTTAGATCCACTTTCTAGTTTGAGGCCCCAGTTTTGACCTTACTCATAGGTGACCTGAGGACAAAGAGCCCCACTGAGCACCAAATGGAAGTCATCCTTCAAAATCCCCTCTTAGTGGGCTACCAGCCCACTCGGTGGCCCTGGAGACTACATCTGGGTCACACGGGGGTAAGCTGGGTGCTGGAGACAGTGTGTTTCTTGGGTTTCTACAAGGAAAGTGTAAACCCAAGTATTTCTGTTCCCTCAATAGGGATAGGGAGAAGCAGACCAGAGCAGCAGCCACACAAAACTACTGCTGCTCCCTCTGGAGGGACCCACCAACCCTTTTGGAGTCCAAGAAGAAATTCTAGACTAAATTCTAACGAGTGAAGGGACCCCTCACACTAACTGACAAATGTGAAAACTAATATTTTATTTAAGCTTTCCTGAGGAAAAATGAAATGATGAAGGCACACACCTAGAAATGCCCACGTTTTCTCGGTAGATTTCTCTGGGTCAAAGGTTGGTTTAAGAAAAGTTTTCCATAAAAACCAGTCATAGAGAGATTAAGTCTCTTTGTTTCCTAGCAACAACCGCCCACAGAAAGGGCAGGGCTCCCACCCCAGGGAGCACACACCACACCAGAATTCCTCACCAACCTCATCCCTGGGACTCTAGCCTGAAGGACAAGCAACACATTTCAGCCTTCAACCAACACCCACCCCATACCTATTGATTGTTCTATCGAGGAACAAAAGGAATTTACAAAAGCAGCAAGTAACCCATGAGACAAAAGGGAAGAAGAAATTATTTTCATAATATCTTAGGAGTCTTATGGTACACATAATTACAAGATAAAATCTGAGACAAACCCCCCGGAGGGGAGAATTTGGCTTTTGCTCATTTCTCCTCCAATAAAACTTGCCTTGCTGGCCCAGGCATCTTCATCCCAAGAAGTGAGTTGTAATACACGAATGATCTCATTAATTTCAGCACTCATCTTTTCTACAGTATAGATGCGATTTTTCAAAGCTTCTTCTATTCCTTGGCTTTTTGAGTTTTTAGTTGTTACAAAAATCTTCATAGCTGTAAAAATAAACGAAAGATCAGAAACTAAGGATGGAATTGATTTTGCTGTACAACAATATTCACACAAAATGTTCCACACCTTGAAAACATGTTTTGGGCTTCTAAGATCTTACCAAAAAAAAAAAAAAAAAGGAGTTGAAACAAACACTGCAAATCTGCCAATAAAGTTTCAATATCACAACCTTTATTGTAATGAGCACTGAAGGTACAAAACATCAGCACAACATGATCAGGGAACTAATTTAACATGCACATGCTGATGACCTACAATCACAAAATGCCCAATATTCTTCTAAATCAGCTGGCATCCCAGCCCTTTTACTGTCCCTAGCTAACACAGACTTAATGGGACAGGATGAAAACAGTTACAGTATTTAAACTGTAACCAGAGAATGTGCTGCCCCCAGTCCTTCCCAAAGTGTTCAATTTATCTTCCAGGATTATCTCTCAACATGTAGCAGAGACTTTCTAACCCCCAACAGCGAAGAAGAAATAATAAATATGAAGCAGTGAAGAAAAATAATTTCCTCCCATAAAATAACTTAAATTATAAAAGAAAAGACTAATCAACACTTTATTGAGTTACCCAGCTTAGAAATCCTCTTCCCAACAACCTTTCTGCCACATCAAACAGTTATTGGCCTCAAAAACATATTTCCATGGAGATTAGAAGACTCTAATTACAAAGGTCTGTTTTCTAGTTCATGTGAGGGCTTTCTGATTGCTTACACTCGCATCTCCTTTTTAGCTTCTACTTGAAGTGCCAAAGCAGGAAGGCAGTAGCCCCGGGTCACAGTGGCGTGCCGCACAAAAAAATTTAAATAAAGCTGCTCTCTGAGAGTTACACACTAGCTGCTTGACAAGTGCAGCTCCCTGTTGCTAGTTTAGAGGACAGTCCCCATGTTGCAGTTCTGGACTCTGGGAAGGTGGCCCCAGGTGGCATAGACCACCAGCTCTATAATGTAAAGAAAAGTTAAATTCTTTGGATTAAAAACAAAACAAAACAACACAAAAAACCTGTTAACCAACAATGAAAAGGCTCTGGGTTTACTTCTTTATCAAATATTGTAGTACTCTATTATATCCAATCCATCTCCTAGTTGCTTTATTGTAATACAAATAAAGATGTCAAAATCCAAACATCCAAGACATCCAAAATCCAAACATCCAAGGAGATTCCACCTCCCAGAAAAAGAGCTTCAGAAGAATAATCAGCCGCAGCCTTCAGGTAATACCAACCCCTCAGGTCTCATTCTTACCCAAGCAGAGGACATGCAAATAAGCAGCAAAAGAATAAACAAACAAACATTGTAAAAAATAAAAAATAAATTAAATAAAACAAATAAGCAGCAAAAGAAAACAAGCATCAGGAGTCTAGAACATGTTTAAATTTCACCCCATAAGATAAAGTACAGGCAGAAAATACCTGAAATGAGAACTGGCAGCAACTCTTTGACGGTGTTCATTGAGTTCACCAGCATCACTCGGTGCTCCTGGTGCGTCAGCTCCTGCTGCCTCTCGTCAATCATCTTGGCCATTTTAGTCATTCCTGGGGCATAAGAAGTAAGCAGGGTGAGTACTGAAACAACCCAACTTTATGTTTTTCATTAAAAATAATTTATTAAATGTGCCAAAACCGGTTTGACTCATTGGATAGAGCATCGGCCTGCGGACTGAAAGGTCTCGGGTTCGATTCTGGTCAAGGGCATGTACCTTGGTTGTGGGCACTTCCCCACTAGGGTGTGTGCAGGAGGCAGCTGATCGATGTTTCTCTCTCATCGATGTTTCTGACTCTCTATCCCTCTCTCTTCCTCTCTGTGAAAAATAAATAAAATATATATATTTAAAATAATAATAATTTATTAAATGTAAAATTAAATGTGACATAATTTTCATGTTTGGCATAAATACATTCAAAAATAAAGTCATCAGGTTGCCTGGCTACCATGTATGCAGGTTTCACATCATGTACTAGTATCTGCCCAATGTGTCCATGTAGGTAAGAATCTCATGGAGCCTGGTATTAAGAATCTAGTGGCTGTACCGGGCACCAGCAAGGAGGCGGGCCACGGGGCCCCTGGGGGCGTGGGTGCCCCTGAGCCTTTGACCGCTGAGCGCGGGCAATGGAGCCAAGGCCGGGGGCTGCTTCCTGGGCGGCGCCGTCCCGGCAACAGGCTGAAGCAGCACAGGAGCCCGCGGAGAACAAAGGGGTGCCACAGGCCAACCTGCTGAGCTCCCAGGACAAGGAGGAAGAAACCAAAGAAGTTCTCAATGTGAAGAAATCAAGTGAGAGCAAAAAATAGTAAAATTACTTAAGAAAGAATACAAAGAAGATCTTGAAAAATCAAAGACTAAGTCAGAACTCAACTCACCAGCCAACATTGCAACATAAATGCGTTTTAAAAAGAAAAAAAAAAGGACAGAATGTTGGAACAGCGACGGCCAGGCCTAGAGTGGCCAGGCACAAGGCAGTGGCAGCCAGACCCGGAGCAGCAACGGCCAGGCCCCAGAACAACAGCAGCCAGAACCAGAGCATCAACAGCCAGCACTGGAGTAGCCAGACCTGGGGCAGTGGCAGCCAGGCATGAGGCGGAGGCGGCCAAGCCCAGGGTGGCCAGTCCAGGAACACCCAGACCCGGAGTGGCCGGGCCCGGAGAAGCCGGGCCCAGAGCAGCCGGGGTGGGAGCAGCCAGACCCAGAACAGCAGTAGCCAAGCCCAGAGCATCCAGGTCGGGAGTGGCCAGGCTCGGAGCGGCCGGGCCCGGGGCAGCGGGGCCCAGAGCAGCCGGGTCAGGTGCGGCCAGGCCCGGAGCAGCAGCTGCCAGGCTGGGAGCGGCCAGGCCCGGGGGAGCAGGCGGGGCTGGTGCGGCCAGGCCCGGAGCAGCGGCTGCCAGGCTGGGAGCGGCCAGGCCCGGGGGAGCAGGCGGGTCGGGTGCGGCCAGGCCCGGAGCAGCGGCTGCCAGGCTGGGAGCGGCCAGGCCCGGGGGAGCAGCCGGGTCGGGTGCGGCCAGGCCCGGAGCAGCGGCTGCCAGGCTGGGAGCGGCCAGGCCCGGTGGAGCAGGCGGGTCGGGTGCGGCCAGGCCCGGAGCAGCGGCTGCCAGGCTGGGAGCGGCCAGGCCCGGGGGAGCAGCCGGGTCGGGTGCGGCCAGGCCCGGAGCAGCGGCTGCCAGGCTGGGAGCGGCCAGGCCCGGGGGAGCAGCCGGGTCGGGTGCGGACAGGCCCGGAGCAGCGGCTGCCAGGCTGGGAGCGGCCAGGCCCGGGGGAGCAGGCGGGGCTGGTGCGGCCAGGCCCGGAGCAGCGGCTGCCAGGCTGGGAGCGGCCAGGCCCGGGGGAGCAGACGGGGCTGGTGCGGCCAGGCCCGGAGCAGCGGCTGCCAGGCTGGGAGCGGCCAGGCCCGGGGGAGCAGGCGGGGCTGGTGCGGCCAGGCCCGGAGCAGCGGCTGCCAGGCTGGGAGCGGCCAGGCCCGGGGGAGCAGGCGGGTCGGGTGTGGCCAGGCCCGGAGCAGCGGCTGCCAGGCTGGGAGCGGCCAGGCCCGGGGCAGCAGGCGGGTCGGGTGCGGCCAGGCCCGGAGCAGCGGCTGCCAGGCTGGGAGTGGCCAGGCCCGGAGCAGCAGCAGCCAAGTCCAGAGCAACTAGGTCGGGAGCGGCAGTGACCAGACCCGGAGCAGCTGGTTGTGGAATGAACCAGAGCAACAGAGGCCAGGCCCTGAGCAGCCAGGCCCAGAACAGCTCGCTCCTTGCCTGCCCCTGCCCCACGGCTGCTTCTCAGACATGGCTGGAAACTTTCGTGGGAACTTGAGGGTCTGCTGAATCAAGTGATGAAGGCTTAGATCTGGATGTGTTGAATTAGTTTAGGACTGGGGTGTTGATCTGTGAGTGCCTTGGGTGGGGCCTGGATGAGGCTGGTTGACCTAGTGGGAAATGTCTTTTGTGTGAAGTGTATCATTGGGCATGTGGAGGTATTATTGATATGAGAAAATGCTAAGTAACTGATTTACTATCTGAAAAGGGATTTACTATTGGGGAAATTGAGGGAAGAAGAGACTGAACATAAACTGCACCTATGGATGAGGACAATGGGGGATGGGGGGGGGGGGACGGAGGGTGGGGTGGGAACCTGGTGGAGGGGGGAAGAAATGAGGAACCTTTGTAATAATATGAACAATAAAGATTGATTTAAAAAAAAAAAAAAAAAAGAATCTAGTGGCTGAAAAAAGTCTTAAGAATTATAATGGGTTTTGTTTTCATCTTTATGTTTTACTATACTTTCCAATTTGTCCAAAATAAGAATGTACTACTTTTATAATTAGAAATATAAATATTATAAAAAATAATATTAGTGATGACAGCGTTTGAAAGCATCTGGTGTTTTGGAATCAGCCTGCTAGCACTTTCTGTTGACTTCGGGTATTGTTCGAAGGGGATGTGACTCTAAGCTTTGATTTTTCAAGCTGTTCTCAAAATGTCTTAAATAGTTTTACAGCTTTTTAAGGGGTACCAAAGGAAAATGGGAACGATGGGTGGAAAAGATGGGGTAGCCCCTTCTTCATCCAGGGTAGCTGCATTTTTGTCTTTTATATGTTGGGAATCTGCATAAGATTTCATTTGAAGAAATAAAACCTTTTTCCAGGATTATGAGAAAATTAAAAGAGAACTAAAGCCATCTCCTGGTGATCTTTTCAATGATGGTTCAGAGAAATTTTTAACTGCCATAAGCTCTCAGAATGACTGCACCGAAACCTTATGAAAATACTGCTAGTTAAAAATCATTTAACAGCCCTCGCCAGTGTGTGGCTCAGTTGGTTGGGCATCATCTTGTACACCTAATGGTTGCCAGTTTGATTCCCAGTCAGAACACATGCCCAGATTGTGGGCTCAATCCCAGGTAAGTGCAAGAGGCAGCCCATCTATAGTTTGCTCTCACATCAATGATTCTCTCTCTCCCTCTCCCTCCTCTATCCCTCTCTCTTCCTCTATCCCTAAAATCAAATTTAAAAATCATTTAACATAATATGCAAGAATTTTATAAGGTAGTATATTATCTTTAATATTGACAAGTTAAACATCAGGTGTCTTGTCATTGGTCTCATTCACACTCCAAGAACCTTCAAGTTCATGTTATATGTCTAAAGCATCAAAAGCTGCTATCTGTTCATGTATTTTGAATATTCAATTCTCAGACAGTCATTTCAGAATGAGATTTAGCCACAGTAGCTCTTCTCTCCTTCTAGGTCTGATTACATTATGCATTCTTGGGCTAGGCCATGAATCCATAATAGAAGGCAGGCTAATGAGCAAGCTAAGAGGTCATAAAGAGCTTCAGGCCAGCTGGCAGACAGTGAAGGAATGCTGTGTAGTGTGGAATTGAGAGGTCAGGGTTCAGAGTGGCCTTAAACATTACAGCCCTAGGAAAGTATTTCCTACATTTTCCAGCAACATCTGCAATGGCTAGTTTAATTCATTAGACAGGGCCAGGATTTGTAGAAAGCAGATTCAGCTTTTAAAGACAATGATATCTACTTAATAGAAGCATAGCATCAGCTACAACAACAAAGTACAGACACCTAAAAGCCTAATGCATCATTACATATCTTCTGCAAAAAAATAAGGTGGAGGGCCTTTTCCTCTTGATCAAACATGAGCAAGTCATAAAAATGTTAATATAAAAACTGGATATGACTAACCTGGTCCAAGGTTCTTTGTGTAAGTGACCAAATCTTCCATAGTTTCTACCACCTCTGCCACTGTAAGATATTCCAAAATTCCTTTGCAAACTCTAATAATTTTGCGAACCTGGAAATATATTTCAGAGTAGTCAACTGAGTGAACAATTACGTAGAAAAGAACAGTTCATATGTGTAGCTATTCAATATTTTCTCATTCTAAACAATCATCAATCCTCCATTATTATCTTTGAGGCTAGGCTTCTGTCTGAAAGAGATCTGCATGGGCCTCAGATTGCCTACCTCAGCCTCATCGAAGGTGAGGAGCAGGTCCGATGTGCCGGAGAGGATGCCCCTCGACCCATCAATTAGATAATCCCGAGCAGGCACTGAGTAAGGGTCTGCCTGAAGCATCTGGGATGCCTGGACAAGCTTGGTGCAAGCATTTTCAACTCTGTGGGAGTGAATAGGGAGTTAGAATGAAGCAGAAGAATATCATATGCAAATAGACTGAATATTACTGTAAATGCAAAGAATGTAAGTGGATATAAATCCACATTCTTTCCACCTAAAAAATAGCCAAGACTATTTTATAATAGAAGTGTGGTTTTTTGTGGGGTTTTTTGTTGTTTTTTTTTTTGCTTACATATACATTAAGTACAGCACAATCATTCATTCATTATTCATTATACTAATTAAGTCTTGTTCTTTGATATTTCCTGGCAACAAAAAATGATGAGAAAATGTTTCAGACCTTTTACTTCAGGTTGCTATATCTCTGCATCTCCTTTGTTTCCTTACTCCTCACCTATGTACACTGCCATTAAAAGACACTTCACTAAGAACCCAAATCCTTGACATCAGTTTCAGATTTAGCATCTTTAAAAAAATTTTTTCAAAGCACTGTGTTAAGTGAAATTTAATAATCAGAAAAGCAAAGAAATAGGAGAAAACACAAAGAAAAATTATGAGGAGATGCATAAATTTCTCATTCATCTAGCTATATGAATTTATTTGACAAATCCACTGGGCTGCTTGAAAACAGTTCTCAAAAACTATGTTAATTAAAATGTCATTGCCAAAACCGGTTTGGCTCAATGGATAGAGAGTCTGCCTGTAGACTGAAAGGTCCCAGGTTCGATTCCAGTCAAGGGCATGTACCTTGGTTGCGGGCACATCCCCAGTAGGGGGTGTGCAGGAGGCAGCTGATCGATGTCTCTCTCTCATTGATGTTTCTCTCTCTCTCTCTCTCTCTCTCTCTCTCTCTCTCTCTCTCTCTCTCTCTCTCTCTCTCTCTCTCTCTCTCTCTCTTTCTCTCTGTGAAAAATCAATAAAATATATATATTTTTTAAAATGTCATTGCCCTAGCTGGTTTGGCTCACTGGATAGAGCTTCAATCTGTGGACTGAAGGGTGCCAGGTTCGATTCCAGTTAAGAACATACGCCAAGTTGCAGACTCGATTCACAGTAGGGAGCATGCAGCAGGCAGCCAATCAATGATTCTCTTTCATTATTAATGCTTCTATCTCTCTCTCCCACTCTTGCCCTCTATGAAATCAATAAAAATATATTTAAAAAAATAAAATGTCACTGGCATTAATAACTGAACCAGTTTTTAATAGCTCACTATTAATATTGCTTAATAATATAGATGATCTGATGAGCCAAATGTAGCATTTTTGGTGGGAGAGGAGGGACAGGGGTTCATTTAAAAGAAGAACCCAAAATACATAAACCAACTATTCTACTTGCCCTCATGTACTACTAAAATGTATTCACTCATTCACCAATCCATTCAGAATTGAAAAAACTTGATGTATCATCTCTTCAAATCTCATATCCAATAAACCCCATTATGTTATCATTTTACAACTTAAGAAAATATGGAACAAATCTCTTAAAATTAAAATATTTGTCAAAATTATACATTCTTATTTAAAAACATAGAAAATGTGACGTGCAAATACAAGGCCACTCACAGGACTGTCTTGAGGATTAAATGAAATCATGTAAAATTTCACAAGTATTATATAAAAATAATAAATTAAACCAACACATGAATTTCAACTACATAAAAAGCATTGAGCTATGGACTCTATAGATATGCATATTAAATATATATATTTTTAAAAAACCCACACTATTCTAATTCTCAAGATGCTTTACTAAGCTAAGTCACAAACGTTAGAGCCATGAGACAGAACGTAATAAAGATCAGTGAATTGAGGTGGCTTTTAAATCACTCTTAGGAAGAACTGATTGTTTACTGTTCCTCTTTTGTTTTTAAATTGAACATTTTAGTAATTTTAAAATACATAATAGGTATGTTCACATACATAACACAAACACATATATAAAAACAAAAGGGCATACAGTGAACAAACTTTCCTTCACTATCTAATCTTGTAGGCATTCCAATGCCATCTACTTGAAACCAACATTATGAGCTTTCTCTGGATTCTTCAAAAACAGATACCTTATGCATACAGAAACAAAAATATAGGCTTCCACCTTTATTACACAAACAGTATCATACACACCAATTCTCTGCAGTGGACATGTTCTTATAAAAATACATAAAAAGCCTCCTTACATTCTTTTAGAAAACTACATAACTAGCCCATAATTTATTAGCCTACTGCAATGAATCAACTTGAATACATATCATTTTTAAATATATAGATCTGTAGAAGACAGTTTAGAAATAGAATCACTAAGTCAAAAGTATGAACATTTTAGTTTTGACAAATGCCATATTGCCATCCACTTAAGTTATTAATTTACATTTCTACCACAGTGGATTAGAGTGCCTGTTTCCCAACAGTCTCAATAACGTAGCGTGTAATAAAAACAATGTATCTTCGTCAATATGCAAGTCCAAAATAGAATCTCAATATAGTTTTTTTAATTTGAGGTGAAATTCACATAACAAATAATTTGTCATTTTAAAGGCTACAATTAAGTGGCATTTAGTGTATTCACAATGTTTAATAACCACCACCTCTTTCTTGTGTCAAACTCTCTCATAGCCTCAGAAAAACACTCTGTACCCATTAAGTCAGAGATTTTCAATCCATATGCTGCAGCACACTGGTGTGCTACAAGAATTTTTAAAACTTGCAACCTCTTTTTCCTTAAATTGTCAAATTAAGGAAATAATAATAATAATTTATTATTAAAAAATGACAACAACCAGCACAACTGCCATCTGGTGTGAATGAATAAAAATTATACCTATCTTTTTTTGTCTAATCAGCAAAAATAAAATATATCTTTTTTGGTGTGCCACAGAGTTTTAGTAATTAATTTAGGTGTGCCAAGAGATTAAAAAAAAAAAAAAGTTAAAAATTGCTGCAGTAAGTAATGAACATAAGAATAACAACAAACTTCTTTTTGGAAATAATGCAAGCCAGAAGACAGTGAAGCAAAGTACTCAAAGAAAAAAGAAATCTGTCAAAATCTATACTCAAAGAAAATATATTTCAAAGTTTAATGTAAAATAAAACTTTTTCAGTATACAAAAGCTGAAAGAATTCATCACTAGCAGACTTGAACTATAAGAAAGGTTGAAGGAAGTCCTTCAGGAAAAAGAAAAAGTATGCCAGATGGAAATTTGGATTTACAGAAAGAAAAGAAGAAAAAAAAAAGAGCACAAAGTGGTAATTATGTGGGTAAATAGAAAAATACTTTTTTTCCCCCTTACTCTTTAAATATATTTAAAAGATAATTGACTGGCCAAAACCGGTTTGGCTCAGTGGTAGAGCATCGGTCTGCAGACTGAAAGGTCCCGGGTTCAATTCCGGTGAAGGGCATATACATTGGTTGTGGGCACATAACCGGTAGGGGGTGTGCAAGAGGCAGCTGGTCGATGTTTCTCTCTCATCGACGTTTCTAGCTCTCTATCTCTCTCCCTTCCTCTCTGCAAAAAATCAATAAAATATATTTAAAAAAAAAAAAAAAGATAATTGACTGAAGAAAGAGCTTTTTAAAAAATAAAGTTTAAAAAAGTAAATTTGGTTTGGCATTCTACTTAGACAATGAGGACTGGCTTTGACAATGATTATGGCAGATGTTTTCCATAAATTAATGAGTAAAATTTATATGAAAACATTTTTAATAAATGTATATAAAATATAAAGTATATATCTTTTGCAACTAAAGTTATGATTTAAAAATGTTTAAATTAAAACTTTAAAATATTCTAGAGAGCACTTACCTGTTGCTTCAAGGTTTTTTATAGCCATTCCCTCTAACTGAAACACCTCCCTCTCCCCTCTTTTACTTGACTAACCCCTACTTGTTCTTTTAAACTCCACTTTTAAATTCCACTAGAGGAAACTGTCCTAAATCTATGAGTATCTCTTATGTGCTCTCACGAGACATATCATACCCTCTCAGGTTAATTTTCACTATCTCCCACAAGACTGTAAGTTCAGCAGGGCAAGGACCTTATCTATCCTATTCATTAATGTGTTCATAGACTGGAATGCCTGACACATAATGCGTGCTCAATATATATTTAAATGAATGAGTGAATTTTCAACAATCACAGGCAATCATGAAATCACATGACCTATAGAAATTAACTTTAAAAAGTAACAAACTTGATTTTATTTTCAGGTAACAGAAATCTTAATGAATGCGCCGAAACCGGTTTGGCTCAGTGGATAGAGCGTCAGCCTGCGGAGTGAAAGGTCCCGGGTTCGATTCCGGTCAAGGCATGTATGTACCTTGGTTGTGAGCACATCCCCAGTAGAAGGTGTGCAAGAGACAGCTGATCGATTATTCTCTCTCATTGATGTTTCTAACTCTCTATCCCTCTCTCTTCCTCTCTGTAAAAAAACAATAAAATATATTTTTTAAAAGAAATCTAATGAAATTATAGCAAACCTAAGCATCACAGAATGCAGCTGTTGCACTACACCTATTTGTAAGGATCCAGTTACTTTGTGTTTCAAATTTGGGGAAAAACAAAAAATAAGTAGTCATCATAGAGAAAGGAAACAACAAAGAAAGATGAAAGCTTTGCTGGAATCAATTTGATTCTCCTCTAATGGTTCCCTTGTATGGTAAAATGATAGGGCCAAAACAGACACTGCACCATTTTTTCCCCTATAATAAGACATCTGATCTGTACATTAAAATTTAATGGCATTCATAAAAGCCAAACAAATCCCACCATGACTAACCAGTAGTCAGAAACAGGAAGGAGTCTGTGGAAAATGAGATTTTATCTAAACACTAAAGTTGCCTCACTTCTTAAAGTGATATTTTTAACACAAATCCAGACTTTTTAAATTATTTTAGAGATTGGCAGCAGGGCTAAGATCTGTTTCCTAAATAATTATATATGTTGACTATATATTAATAACAGTGATACTTTAAATTAATCAACTAACAGGTTAAAGCTTCCCTCTGCCTTTGAGTCTTCAACCTAAATTAATAGAAAATTCT